AGTTAATTTTTAGTTTGTAAAAGAAGTATGAGGAGAGATTCAATTAAATAAAAATAAAATCTTAGCATTAAATTTTTTGTTCAAAGTTTATATGGGTCAACACGAATATGAACACGAACACGACACGAAAATAAACAGGTCAACTCGACACAACACGAATAGTTAAATGAGTTGGGTATGAGTTGACTAATGTTTGACACGACACGAACCCGATACAACACGACTCGATTGCCACACCTAGTGATAGTAGTGATACATTCATGAGTTTTGTAAATGAGTAAAATTTGATTGATTTTATTTATCGATTAAAGATTGTGAATTTAATTGCGTTATATTAATATTTTTTTTTTCTTGAGATATTCATTATATAGGGATAGGGTGGATTTTAATATGATGATTGTGTTTATAATTATATTCTGTTATTGGATTGATTGGTGGTAAATGTGATAAATTCATGAGTCTTATAAATGAATAAAATTTTATTTATTACTTAAAGATTATAAATTTCAATAGATTATGTTAGTATTTATTTTTTTTTTGGAGGCATTTGTATATATGGTATTATTTTGAAGAATTTTACATATTTTTACGATAGTTTTATTAATATGGAGGATATGTTCAACAATATATTTCGAATCATTTTAAAAGAATAATTGGTATGAATATTTTTAGGTCATTCTTTTTTAATTTGAACAATTATGTAAAAAAAAATTATTTGTTATATAGTGCCTTCAGGCACAAGTAATGACCAGTATATAAACAAAACACACGCACATATATATACTTGCATATTTATATCAATGGGTCGAATAAACAAGCCTGAGATTCCCACAAAAAGAAATGAGTACTAAAATTGATTAAGATGCGTACATTTTAATTTGACTAGTTAATGCATACGTGCATTGCACGTGAATAATTTTGAATATGAAAATTATGTAGTAAAGTCAGGAGATGCACGTGAGGCCTTTTAAATTATAGTTATGTTGGTAAATATGCAATGCACAAAACACACAAATTGAATCGACCTCAGAGAACAACATTAAATTGAAGCAAAATAAGTAATGATTGTTTCGATATCAATCATGATATGTTAAAAAATTCCATCTCATTTGGAATCGAATTGTTCAGCCCCCAATCAACTGATAATGCCTTCAACCTAATGGCAAATTTTGTGAATCACCTACAATGATGGTGTTAGTATTGTTAACCATAGTGTACACTGTATTTCCAAGCTCTTCAAAAAATTTCAAGTATTCTAGTTCGATAGTCTCAAATGAATTTCTAACAAAAAATATTTTTTGGTAGAACAAAAAAGGTTAAATAGTAACTCCGCTATAGGAATTGTATAGAACACAGATTACATTAACCAATAGTGAATATGATACTTACCCATAATTCTCTCAAGACGTGAGAGAACGGAAGGAGTTTGGAATGCACAAGAAAAAGCCAAAGAAAGTTTATTTGTAGTCTCTAACCTACAAATTTGCTTTCCAAAAAATCCATATGTAAAGATGTCAAAATAGAGCTCCCAACTTCAATAACCAGTAAAAAGAAGTACCTAGAGAAAATGACCCAATAAGCATCAAAGGAAAACAAGGAAACGGGAAAATGCCAAAAAATAGAGATTTAACGAGATAAAAAGAGAACTTATATGGATTTGGTAGATCAAACGATGGGGAAGCAAATAATGTTCTATTGATGAATGTTCTATTGATGGTTGTCGCATATAGAAATTATTGTTTAGTTCAAGCCAGGAATTTTATAACTGTACAATTGCTCATTGAGTGGTTCTATGCGACTTTTTGGTTGCCCACTTTCATTCTAGGAATTTATTATTGGATGATGTACTCAATCAAATCGGCTACATTAGATATTAAGGAAAGACAACATTGGTATTAACTCATTCATTGAGGAGAAATTTGGAAAACAAAAGTTTTTCCACTCAAGGTTCATTTTTAAGTAGTATATATATTGATTAGTAATTACCCGTACTTGAAAGCACTACGTTACTCTAAAAAAATTGTAAATATTTTTTCATAAATAAAGGCAATGTATAATGCAATTTCAACAATGTAACGATCAAATTGATATTGTTCAACCTGTATGCAGAACATATATAATCAATTTTTTATATAGTGAAAGTCACGTTACAACTACTACAAAATATTAATTAAAAAATTTGAGAAAATATAATTATTATTGGTTAAATATCCACAATTTTAACATTTCTAATAAACTTTATCTCAAATTTCAAAAAAATATAACTATTTGTTTATCTGCAGGTTTCTACCTAAAGTTCATAACATTATCTCTAAATCATTTTTCTAATGTGAGTTCGTGTAATTTTTGTGAGGAAAACATCCAAAAGTTTCATATGAATTTTTGTAGATGTAAAAAATTTTGTTGAGTAATTAAAATCAGTTTTAATTTGATTTCAACTTAAATGTTTATAAAATTCAATCGAATTTAAGTTTGGGTGTGGCTATTCCCACCCAATTTAATTTCTCATTATCAAATTATTAAGTTCACTCCTTCTATATTCACCAAATTAATAATTAAGTTCACCCTATGCTACATACACCCCGTTTAATAAGTAAACTCAACTTATATTTTGTCATAATTAGGGTTTCATTCTCTATTTCATCTGATGCACTCACAAAAATATTTTTTAATATTAATTTTTTCAATGAGATACATGTTAGTATTACTTTTTAATTTAATTATATATTTGATTTTATATTTGTTGAATGAATTTTTATTATTTTTGGTATGTTTTGATATCTCTGTCAAGTTTAATAATTTTTTATTTAGAATGTATATGTGTGTGTATCTATATATATGATTTTCAGATTATTTGTTATTTTTTTAATCTTGTTTAGGTTTTCTATTTATACTTCTTTTTTTTTTTTGTTCGATTTTGCATTTGTGCTTGATATTTTTTTTTCATGTCTGATTTTGCGTCTTGTGGTTTCACGTTTTGTAGTTTTACTTGTTCCTTTAAGTTTTGATTGGTTTTTTTTATTCCCTCTTATTTTGGTTTACTTTTTTTTTTTCCTTATTTCGTTATTTTCTTTTTAAAAAAGATGTAGCATGAGGTGGACATAAAAAAGGTAGACTTAATAGTTTAATAATTAGAAATTATATGGAGTGGAAATAATCTCACTCTTTAAGTTTTAGCAAGAATTTATCATTTATACACGTCAGTCAAATTCAGTTCAATTTGAATCTTAATTATAAGAGTAATGCTACATTGACCAAATTTTGGGACCAAATTTGGAGCCCAAATGACGTGACAGTTAAATATTTGAAGTTTTTATTGGGGCCCAAATGACATGACATCAATCACAAAAATCCAAGTCAACTGCCATGCCATTTGAGTTTCAAATTTAGTTTCAAAATTTGATCAGTTTAGTATTACTGTTATTATAATTACGTCAAACTGATAATTGAATTTAAGTTTGACTCAATTAACACTTTTATTTTAAACCTACAAACTAATTTTTAATTATCATGTTCACTGTGATGTCATCACTTCTTTATTTTTTAATTTAGTTATTTTTTATTATTTTTACGATTAATTTTACTTTGATTGTAAAAATGATCATAATTACTTCGAATACTAATTATAATCACTTTGAATCGGTAATCGAGTAAAATAAAATTTGAAGGAGGAATTTCAATTATTTGACCAATAATTTTAAAAGAATCTAAGTCACGAAAAATTCAAGACAAATAATGATAGCCCCTTTAGTATATAGATATATCACATTACACAATTTGATAATTATAGTATTTTTATTTCAATACAAAATATGACCTATATTATAGTCATTTTACTCGTTTTGACGCAAAGAATATTTATTTAAGGTCCATTTGTTTATTTAAATTTTTTAAAAATAATTTTTAATTAGAATCATAATTAACGACCTAATTAATGTATAGTATGAGATAGAGAGTTATAAGAGAGATATAAGTTTAGAATTGTGGAATGAATGAAAGTCTTATTCAAAATATTGGGGGAGAGGACTTTTCATATTAGGATCGTAGGATCATTATTTCTTCAAGTGATTTGAGCCACGAAAAACTAAAAATAAAGGAATTTAACTACTTTATTATATAGATTTATAGTCATTGATTATAAAAAAATTTGCATTTGTTAACATTTGGTTGAGTAAAACATGGACGCAAATTTTGAAACCGTTTATCGCAGATCGACCTAATTTAAAAAACACGTCTTTTAAAAAACAATTGTGACTAACCTTTAACTGCTTAGAAGACGTAGAAATTATTGAACCATTATATATACATATACACACAGAGTCACATAGGTCCACAACAATTACATAGATACTTATACCAATGGTCCAACTCTGAACTAACACAACTGTCAAGAATATCATTAAAGAAAATATAAATGCACCATGGAAAACAACTCAAAAGAGTTCCCTAAATGCCCTTTTTTTGAGGTGCCAGTTAGATGTGGCAGTGGCACACCCTCATCATACAACACAACCAAACCAATACGACTATCCTCTTTCTCTCTCTCATTTATATATACATATATACAATTCAGTTCCCTCTTCATATTATGCTATGCCAAGAAGTTCGGGACGAATTTCTCGCAAACGTTTGAAGCATTCATAGAGCTCTGATCTACTTTTTGATCATTCCCAATGCATTTCCTGGTCGGTTCTTTATGCCTCACCTTGATCTCAATCTAATCCTTATCCTATAATTCATATGGGTGTATTAGACCTTTTGATGATAAACTCGATTGAAAAAGTAGGATTCTGATTCAAATAACCGAGGCGTTTAGAGGTTTTCTTAGGCCAAACGGAAATTGGCCCTCGAATGTAAAGGCAGAAACGAGCTTGTGTGTGAGTTGAGGTTAAAAGTTGGCGTCTATTTGGTGTTTTGATTGTATTTCATTGATTCATTTGGAGGATTTCACATGGATTACATAAGATGAAAGGTCCAAAAAGGGAATTGGGTTGTTGTTGATGGGGTCTAACAGAACCTGGTTCATCATCTGGGTGATGTTCTATGCATTTTTATTGCAATTTGTTGATGGCACTGTTAGCTCTTACCGCAAAAATTTGGATAATTTTCTTCATGATCAAGCAATCAAGTCATTAGCAAAGCCTCATACAGGTATACTATACAATATTTCTCTCCCTGCTAATTTTTCTGGCATGGAAATTTCAATTGTTAGACTCAAAAGTGCAAGTTTCTGGGCAAGAGGAGCCAATTTTAGTTTCTTTCACATCCCACCAAGAATAATCCCAATGCCTTTTGTAAAAAGACTTGATCTAGTCTATCAAAATCTAGGAAACTGGTCATCTCAGTACTATACTCTGCCAAATTATACTCTAATCACTCCTGTTATTGGCTTTATGGCCTTCAGTTCAAATACAAGCACAAGAGGCAATGAAATGCTTAATCTAAGTATCATGGGGGAGCCCATTTTGGTTCATTTTCCTCAGGTTTTTCCACTGCAAAAAATTAGAAATTTGACAATGAAATGTGTCAGATTTGGGTCAAATGGGTTGGTTGAATTAAGCAATGTGACCAAGCCAAGCTCTTGTATTGCTAGGGGTCAAGGTCATTTCACTATTGTGACTCCATTTTCATTGAAGAAGAAAGAGAGGTTATTGAAAGGGTGGATTATAGGGTTTGGGGTAGGAGTTTTTGGATTGGCGTTGGTAGGTTTGGCTTGGGTTTTGATACACAGACAGGCTAGGAAGAAGAGATTGGGGCAAATGGAGAGAGAATCTGAAAAAAGTGAGGCTTTGGGAACTATTTGGGTTGGAAGGAGTAGAATGCCAGCTGCTACAGGGATGAGGACACAACCAGTCCTTGAGAATGATTATGTTCCTTGACTTGCAACTTGCATTCCAGTGTTTTTTTTTTTTTTTTCCATTTTACAATTTTTTTATAAGTGATTACATATTTGTTTTTGAATTTTAGTTTGTTCATAGGAGATTTGTTTCTTTAATTTGTTTTGTTATCATGACTAACAAATATTTTTCAATTTTCTGGAAGGAGTTTGTGTTTGTGTGCATGCATGGGTGCCCAAGTGATGGCCCAAGACACATAGACACTCGTCATTATGGAATTTAGAGATGATTAGACGGACACAATCTTTATCTTATGACTAGAATCCAATACCATATATTAAAAAAAGTCAAACGCAAGGTGAAATTCAGTGGAATAGATAATGAATTGCAGCTTCTTATGCAATTAGTTACTGAAACAACCAGAGAAACTAAATAAATATTTTGGAGGGTAACCCCTAAAGTTTGAGAAAATATTCAATGCAATGGTGATATCATGATAGTATTAATGATATGGTATCACCAACTAATAATTAAATCTCAATTGGACAAAGTGAATTCTACTTTAGTTGTTATTGGCTAACATAAACAAGTAGTTATTGACTCTTGTGAGTTTGTTTTCCTATTTTTTTACACATTATTAGTTGGTGATATTAGGGGACAATGTTGATGTGATATCACTGTTGCAAAGAAACTTTTTTCCTGATGCTCAACCTATTTTATCAATTGCATATAGTTCATGGAAAATTAGAAAGAATAAAGTTGCATACACAAACTCTTTCTACTACATTTTTTATAGCAAGCTCTTAGTGCGATTACAATTGTTGGACATACATCGGGGTGGTATAATTACAAACGTTGGATGTACAGGTGTCACTGAGAAATTAAATATTTTACTAATATAACAATCCACGTTGATTTGGTAATTGTTACTATATACGTCTTTTTTGAGAGTTTGATGATTTAAACATTATTGTTATAACAATCAAAGAAGTTTGACAATTTATTGATTTGTTTTTTTTGATAAAACAGAAAATTTGGTAAGTGAAAATGCGCAAAAGATTAAATGAACCGATAAAGTTTGGAGATGAAGAAATGATCATGAAGTGAAAATGGTGGATCAAAGTAAGAGCCACTTAGAATGGCATGTGCAACAAGCTTGTTTGCAGCTTCTGTGGTATGAATGCCATCCCAGCTCACATAGTTCCTTGGGTCACTACAAGCTCTTGCTGTGACATTCTTTCCGTTAATCACATTGCTGTTTCCACATATAACTCGAGGGTCAAAATTGTAGGCACCTCCCCCATATCCACAACATGCTTTGGTACTATATTTCAACCCTGCCCCAAATAAAGCAAACATACAAAATATTAGAATGCAAAATTGTTCAACTTTACAACATAAAAACAAATAATAATTGAGCAAATTTTCAATCTCATATCACAACATACTAGACATTAGGGGTATAAATGAACCGAACAAAACCTAGGTAGTACCAAATAGTTCAAGCTCGGCTCGATCATTTTCAAAGACTATTCAAACTCGGGTAAGGAGTGTGACATGTTTCAAACATTTGTGGAAATTCTATGGGTTAATTATTTAGTCTAAACATAGGTTCAGCTTATCAAACGAACCGAACTTGAGCTTGTGTCCGAGCTTAAACTCTAGTTTAGAATATGTGTTCAAAAATCAAGTTTGGTTATATACGAGTACACACATACTAATAATGTTCTATTACATAAGTTTAATGAGTAAATAAGTAATTGCTCTAACTTGACTTGTTTTTTACATGAGCTCCGAAATAAAACTTGGCCTTGGTTCATCTGATTTTTAGTAACTCACAAATCTCAGGTTCAATCCCTTGTGATACTCCCTAAGGACTAATTACCTTTGTTCCTCAGGACATACTTTAACTCAGTTCAAGGCATGATAACAACTGTTAAGTTCAAAAAAATAGTCGGTGCAAGTCTAAACATCCGATAACAACAAAAAAAAAAACATAGTGTTGGAAAACCATACCACGAGAGGTGGGGTGCTGGAAGAGATCTAGCAGAACAGAGTGAGTATCAACATATATAATATTAGCATGGGGAAGATCCTGTCTGGTTTGGGTCAGAGCTGCTTTCAACATGTTGTTATAATCAACCACTGCATTGTTGTAGGACATCATGCACCCAAATGCATCAATATCAGAACAGTTGTGAGGCCACACCACCAAAAATCCTGGGTAACAACCCAATGGTGCAAGATTAAGTACCAGGAATGTGCCTCCACCCAACCCATATAGCTCCTGCAAATTTCGTGTACGGACAGTAATGGGTTTGCGTAAATATCAAGCCACAAGACTATATATGTAGAAATACACACACCTTAATGGTGGTAGCAATTTGAGAAACCACTTGTGGAAAAAGCTCCGTCACTCCATCTATTTCCAGAGAAGCTACGTTGAAGGCGAAGTCATTCTGACCAATATACAATGTGTAGAGCGACTTACTAAATATGTCAGGTGGAGGAAGTTTTGTGGACCCTAAATCCAATATCAAAGTTTCACAGGTTAGTACAAAGTTGGATTCTATCTCAACTAAGGAGGTGACTATTTATATGGACGCATAACCTAGGCCTAGGCAAAAAGCACGTGGCCCACGGAACGACCCAAAAGGCCGAGATTGTATCAGTCCGTATGCCATTTCGGCTTGCCTAGTTCTTGCCCGATATCCCTGCACGTAGGTTTGTGGGCTAAGGTTTTTATCTGGTAAGCCCATGGCCCGAAAGTGCGAAATTCAATCAGGCCATGTTCCAACCCGGCTTGCCTTCTCGTCCAATAGAATTGAACATAATAACAAGTTTAAAAAAAAAGTTCATTGGATCTGTTCGACGGACATCCTAGTGAAACCCTACAAAGTTGGCCAGGTGACCAGATAACAGGCCTGGAAACGCTAGGCCGGGCTGACCAAACAAAGCTCTTTGACAAGTTCAAAGTTTGTGCTGTCCTTGGTTTTCTATATCTTCCTAATAAAAAGGGTGCTGTTCCTTTTGTTTTTTGTTTGTGCGTCCAGTAAGCCCGACCCAAAACATCAGCCCGGCCTATTGCCGAAGCTCAGAATAATCCGGGTAAGCTCGATTAATTGAATTCAACGGCGGATCATTTAAAAAAAAAGTTGCACCTTTTGTGCCTTTATAATATTCCTCAACTTGGCCCTTGAATTGCTTCATTTGGCTGAGTTGAATGGCAAGAGAAAAAGGACTGATCCCAGTAACAAATAGAGATGTGTTTGGTAGGAGAACTGTGGATGCTGCTGTCGCAAAGTTGGCCCCATGCCTGTAGTAAGACCCAATTGTTTGCAGATATGAACTTAGAAAGGACAACCCTAAAGCTTCAGCTGCAATCAAAAAACAATAGTAAAATGTTAGTTTATAACTTATTTTAAAAACAAATCATATTATAAACTTACTTTAGAATCCAGTTTGGGGGCGTAATGGATTGTTATCGGTGGATTGATAGAGCATTTCAACATTGAACAAGTGAATTGCCAATTAAACAATAGAAGTATATTAGATCTGTTGTGACAGTAATTCGATCCAAATTGAATAATTATTTGATGATATTGAGGTATAATACAAATGTAATTTGTTAAAATTCAATTTAATTAAGTCATTTGACTTAGAATTTTCTTATTAGATTCGAATTTAAATCAATCACAGTTCAAATCATTAACAAAACTATTTAAAATGTTTCTTTCCTCCAAAAATAAAGAACACCATACCTGTTTCGTTACATTATGAAACTTGCGCAACATACAACTTCCTATATTGAAAGAATACTACATGAAGGTAGGTTTATCATGAAAGATAGGTTTTTATCATGAAGGTAGGTTTTCATGAAAGAATACTACAAACAATAAGTTCAAAATTATTGGACCGAATTTAACCACAGACAAACAAGAAATGTTTGTTTATGTATAATATGAGAATTCAACACTGAGTAATGCTAGGTATCCCAAATAAGTGTGGACTCTTTGATCAGTGGGTAGTATTATCCAAGAGTCTACGCTCATTATGGATGTAATTTCGGATCCCAAATTTGTGATCCCTAGTATTACTCCTTCAACATTTTTTAGTAATGCTAGAGATTCCAATTTGCATCCCAAATGAGTGTGAACCTTTTGAACAGCGGGTCGTGTTATCCAAGTCTCTACACTCATTTGGGATGCAATTTCAAATCCCAAATTTGAGATATCTAACATTACTCCTTCAACATTTATGTATAACCTGCGAATTTGGACATTGAGTAATGCTAGAAATTTTAAATTACATCTCAAATAAGTGTAGACCCTTTCATCGGCGGATCCCGTTATTCACGGGTTAGCACTCATTTTAAATGCGAAAACCTAGCATTACTACTTCAACATTTGAGATTACCCAAGAAATCGATAACTAGCCTCCCATCACTAAGTCGGCCGGCAGGTTTCTTGAAGTAAGTCATGCCATAGGGTGGCTTCAGTGGTGGAAAAGCTGCGAAAAAACCTCCCGTATCGGAGTTTGAGTCCCCAAAGTTGAAGATACCCTCAAAATTACACTTACCACCACTCATACACACAAAGGTCGCCATAAACACCACCCAAACCACCAAAAAGTGCCCAAAAAAGGCAAAGCCTTTGGATGATCTCAAACTCATTTTCTAATGAAAAGGTGAAAAGGTGCTACCACTCTTCTTAATACTACATAATTTAGAGTGTAAATTACACCATTCACTCCCATAATTTATCACAAACTGTCACTATCGTCTTTGAAATTTTAATTTTTTAATTTTGTGCCTTTATAGCCATTAGAATTAGAAATGCAAAACAACATACTTGCACGGCGCATGTATCTAGCCAGGGGGGCATTAATGAAATTTCACGTGCAGATCTAGTTTTCCGTCTTTACTTTAAATTGTTGTTAACGTGAATGATTAGATTAACGTAACGTGTTAACTTATCGATTTTTGTTTGAAATATACATTACAAATTACAATTTTATGATGACTTCACATATAATGGTTGGTTTGAAATAATCCCCTCCAAAGAATGTGAACATGACACTAATATATTAAATGGAATTTAAACTATTATTTGGCTTCTTACCTACAAAAAATATTATTTTCTCATGCCATGGAAGTTGTTCTCAATGAGTACCTATGATGTTGTCCTTGTGAATGGGCATAGTAAGCTGCGTGCTCTTATTTTACGGGGATAAGGACGAATGAGTTCCCGTAAGCCATTTTCTCTTACGTCCTCGGACATGTGTTGGATATTTTGTTTGATTCTTGTTTAGAATAAACAAAGTAATTTAGTTGTTTTGGAATCTCTGTGTGTTCTCCTGATAAATCAACGTCCTATCGTAGTGCCCGGAGTATTAGGTTTGCAACGTCGACCACAAACAGAAAATGACGAGAACGGTTAAATGATTGGATTAGATAGGCACATGTAGCTTGACCGCCTAATTCGTTGTTGGCTATTATTTACGGTAACATTTTATTAATTTAATTTTTTATTTGTCCTGTCCTCCTCATCAATTTATTCTGTTATTAGTAGATTTCTTGATTAAATGACTAATTATGTGACCATCAAATGCCTAACACATCCTTTATTCTATTAACAAAATTAATGAAAAGAATTTGTACTATTTTTGTGAACAATATATTGTAGATTTTAAGGAAGTTTACTTTCGAGTTAAATAAATCGCACTGAAATTTCAGATAAACGAATATTCAACTAAGATTAAACCATAATTTGATACTCAAGTCGTAGAACTGTAGTTGGAGTTCGAGTTCAAACTCGAGATGAACTATAATCCACTAATTGGGATCAAGTTCAAAATGTATTCTGAAAACTAAATATTTCATCTAAAAAATTGTATCTAGTTGATTTTTTTTTAGCTCAACCCAACCCAATTATTAGATGTTATTAGTAGATTCTTATATTTATACGTATATATATATATATATTAACAAATACACATGAATCAAGGTGCATTAAATACTAAAGTTCTCCCATAAAGTTAGGAGATATTTAATGCATCACTTTCCAAAGAACATACACATGGATCAATGGAGGACAAAAATGTCACAAAAAAATTAGGCAAATTCAAATTGTGTACTTAGATACAAATAAGTATCAAAATTAAAAATTTAATAACCCTACATTTTTTAGTGTGTACTTTTTACCAAATAAGTCTAATTTGGTGTACTCCCTTACAATTTATCCTTTATTTAATGATAAGTTCATAAAAAAAACTTGTTTAATATATTTTTCTCTATTGTCTAAAATTCTATTAGTAGTTATGTTTAATTAAAATAAATTTAAAAATTAATAACTCTTAAATTTTATAAGTTTGACTAATATTAAAATTATTATATATATATATATATATATATATATATATATATATATATATTGAATATTAAAAAATAAAAAAATAATAACATCGAATATTAATATTTAAAAAAATAACAGTAATAACATGTTCAATAAAAATATTAATATAAATAGTAACATATTCAACAAAAATAATAGTATACTCACAAAAACAGTACCATGAAATATTCAAAGACAAAAAAATAGTAACATTCAAAATCGAAAGTAATAAAATTTTAAAAAAAATTAAATGTTAAGGGATTATATTGACATCAGTTATTCTTTGAATTTGAATTTCAAATTTATGTTAAAAAATTTATTGACATATCTTCATTAATAGTGAATTAAGAGTTAAAAAATGAAGGGTATTTTAAAATTTTAAAAAAATAGTAAATTTAACTATTTATTAATAAAATCAAAACTAACTTATCTCAAAATAAATTTATTTGACGAATTAAATTCATTATAAATTTCTTAAAAAAGACTCGGCCCCAAATTTTCAGATCTCTTTTATGCTGTTAGGCCGGCTCCGTCGGTAGTTAAAGGTTCGTCATCTTTAAACAAATCCGGATATCCCTGTATTCTCTCGCCAATGGTAGAAAATATTCAACATTTATACGTATAAAAATATTTTACTTTTTGACCGAGAAAAAAAAAACACAAATAAACAAAAGCAAATACTGGTTTGACAAGAGATCCAAGCAATATCCATATCCGATCTCAACTTTTGCTTATGGTCCACGTCAACTGGGTCCCATCACGTTGCGTTGAAAACCATGTCCCTGTAATACACGTCATCTTGTCTGACTCCGAAAATATATCGTGGATAACAGTTATATTATATTAATACTAACGATGTCTCTTGATTGAAGTCACTCAATATTAAATTATAATATTATGCGTGTATTAGAGTGTGTGTATATAACTGAAGTGTATATATAATGTGTGTGTGTGATTGTGTATTGGAGTATGTGTAACTATGTGTTGTAGAGTATTTGTATTGAGTTTGTAAAATTTGAGAGGAAAAATATGTGAAATTTAGAGGAAAAAATATACCTTCCATAAGTTCAAACACTTAACTATCTTATTATATAGATTATATTATTACATGATATAATTGTTTAATAATAAATAATTAAATTTTATTTATTTTTATATGTGGCAAATATTAAAATGAGCGGATTTCATTTTACTTAATTATTAAATTATTATCGAGATATTATATTAGGTGATAATATTAATTTTATGCACATATTTAATAGATAAAGAATTACTCATTTATTAAAAGGTCGTAATGCTTGTTGCTTTTTATCTTCACCGCAATATACGCATCTAAGTCCGTCAATCCTTTCATCTAACGGCCAATATATATATCTCCTGACGTGTACTTAACAAATACTTACGTCATAGCGCATTAGTACACGTGTCACAATCCGCTTTTTTGACAATCCGGAACGTAAGATAAAGAACCAATAATAAACGAGCACGTCGTGGATCTCCTTGGTGACACGCAACCTCTGGATCTTAGGTGGGTCCCTCTGAATCTGGAAATATTTGCGCGAGACACGTGACTGTGTGGACCACAAATTTCACCAGCTAAAAATTTGTGGGGACCACTCGAAATACGTGTTGAGGACTTTGAGTTCTTTTGCGGTCCTCGCTGGCAGAGATATTCTTTATCCGATGTGGCGTGGCCCACGTTTGTCCGTTGGATTAGAGTCCAATCAACTGTTGATTGGTTCTGGGTAAGACGTGGGTCCAGATGTGTATTCGAATCTAACCATGACACCAGGCGACCGTTATCCCAAAACCCAATTACTAATAAATTTCATTTAATTTAAAAATTTATATTCTCTTCACTACACTTTTTTTTTAATTTTTTTATGATTTATTTAGGTAACTGTTATTTAAAATTAGATATAGTTATATCAAAATTTTAATTGTGAAAGATAAAATGATCAATTTGAGTTTGGTAAATAAAATAATGCTATTTAGATTTAAAATATTGACTTAATTTACTGTTTTAATTAATCACTGTCATTGATTTAATTAATAAATTAGTATTACCATTCATACGGAACATAGATCAAACTTCCACAAAACTTTTCAAGCACCACCTCGTCTTTTTATCTTTTGAGGGAAGAATTGGACTAATTGGTCATGAATCCACTAGTTTCAAAGAGAAAATGGTCAAATTGTTTTTTTTTTTTGAGAAAGGTGCTTTGTCATTGTTTGCATACCAATTACCAGTGGACTATTGAACAAAAACTACAATTGGGTGGGTCATCAAGAATAAAGCAAGGCAAGTGTAGAATCCACTGCATGCGAGACTCTGGTGGTACTGGAAAATAATTTTTTCGTAAGCTTTGTTTGTTTAGTGGGAGTATGATAGAAAATACAAAAAAAAAAAAATTAAAAATTTCTATGTGTTTGGTTATCATGAAAAGGAAAATGGTATAGTTTGTTTGTTTAATAGGAGAAAGATAGAAAATACAAAAAAAAAAAAAAAATTAAAAATTTCTATGTGTTTGGTTATCATGAAAAGGAAAATGATAAAAAAAAATAATTTTTCTTCATGCTTGAATTTTCTCACAAATAATCAATTTTTTTTTCTTGTAAAAAACACAAGAAAATTATGACCCGTAACTAACTTCCTATTTTATCCTTATTTTTCTTAAAATATTTTATTGGTTATTAATTCTAAAAATTTTGGTATGAATTTGATTAATCATATAATTTGGCCAAAAGACCATTGTATTGGTGATTGTCTTAAAATTAAGTTTCAAGCCATATTTTAATATTTTTTAAATTTTAATTATAATTATATTTTTTTTATTTTTTAGACTGATTTAATACAATTAAGGGTAATGTAGACGATTACAAAAAATTTCTTATAACTTTTCTTTATTTCAAACAATATAATGAATTTTTTTAAAAATTTTCGGAAAAATTTTTCATTCTAACCAAATTCATGTATGAAAATATATTTTTTATCATTTTCTTTTTTCTCACTTCAATTTTTATCATTTTTATTTTTCATCATTTTTTTCTTCATAATCAAACGGACCCATAGAGTTTGTTTCTTTAGCGAGAGAATGATAAAAAATACAAAAAAGAGAAATTTTTTAAAATTTTATTGTGTTTGGTAAGCATGAAAAGGAAAATTATAGAAAAAATAATTTTTTTTCGTGCTTGAATTTTCTCACAAATAACCAATTTTTTTCCTTGTAAAAAACACAAGGAAATGCAAGAAAATTGTGATTTATAGTTAATTTTTCATTTTATTTTTATTTTTCTTAAAAAAAATTTTTAGTTTATAATTTAAAAAAATTTTGGTATGAATTTGATTAATCATATAATTTGACCCAAAAACCTTTGTATTGGTGATTGTCTTAGAATTAGGTTTTGAGCCACTTTTTTAAAAAAATTTAACGTTTAATTATAATTACATATTTTTTCTTTTTAAACTAATTTAATATAATTAAGGGTAATTTAGATAATTATAAATTTTTTTTATAACTTTACTTTTTTTCAAACAATAAAATAATTTTTAAAAATTTTTCATTCTAATCAAATAAATACATGAAAATATAATTTTTATAATTTTCTTTTTCTTTCACTTTACTTTTCATAATTTTTTTCTTCCAAGCATATCCTTAAAGATTGTTTCAATGGCCAAAAATCCACAATTCCAATAACGATATTTAAAACTAATGAATGGGGTTAATTTAAAGAACTTATCGTAGAGATGAATCTCTAATTTGTAAATCAAATGTCTCGCTCGACGACCTCAAACACATCAAAATCCCGAAATTACAGCCATTCAAAGGATTCGACCCAGGGTATTAATCATCCTGTAAAAGTGTAACAATGAAAAAAAATAGTTATTTTATTATCCTACTCAACGGAAAAGGAGGAGAAAATATCTTTCCTCCCAAACTGGCCTTAAAGAGGAAGAAATCGTGGATCACTGGCCCGTTCCGGATTTAAAAGCTACTATCCATTGTAATTAAATGCTCATATCTTAATCTTTAATTTTTATTTAATTACCACGTCACCCCACATGACTGGGGGTGAAATTAGTTCAATCTCCATCAGACACGTGTACGGCTGGAGTGGACTTTGGGAATAAATAATTTTGGCCAGCGCTAGAATCGATGGGCCAGCGCAACAACCACCTCCCTCCGTATATAGAAAACGTATACTATACGGTCTTTTATACACGTACACGTGTGTCGTGACGTGGATGTAGTCTTGGCGCTCCTCCTCTTCTCTCTCTCTCTTGTTGTTTCTGCAAAGTTCACACTGTGTTCTTGCTCTGTTTCTATGGAGAGAGAAATTGCAGAAGTTGGGAAGAAAGCTTAGGGTTCATAGTCTCGTACTTCATATATAAACCTGTAAATTTGGTATTTAACATCGAAGATTGTTGGAGCAGTGGAGTTTCTAAGAAGACTTTTGCTTCGTGATTTGGTTTTGTTGGGGGCGTTAAGAGGAGATTATTTTGTGCTTTTGAGAGTTTAAGGTATGTGTTCGATTTGTTGAATTATGGCGTGAACTTATCTTGATCTCTCTGCAATTTCCCTTTCTTTCTTCTTGAAAAGTTTAATGTAAAAGCGTGTGGTGATTTTGTTCTGAATTCGATATATATTACTTCGTAGAATTTTACCTATAATTTTCCTCTGTTTTATGGAATAGCTTCTTCGATTCTATGGAGACCCTTGAGAGAGAGAGAGAGAGAGAGAGAGAGAGAGAGAGAGAGAGAGCAATAAAAAGATTGAAGCCATGGAGAATTCGGACTGTTTCAACTGAAAGCATCGTTTAAAGAAAAGATTACAGTTTTAATTAGACGAAGGCATAGAGAACAACAACAAAGAAGCCAACTATGAATATTTTTTCCTGTTCTTTAACGTTAGGTGCGGATATTGAAGAAAAAGGAAAATTGGGTGCGCTCTGGGGGGTAATTTTGTCATTCAATTCCTTGGTTTTTCTAAATTAAAAACGGTTGAAAGTTTGTCTGTTCTCTTGCTAGTGGCTGGGGATGCTACAAAGACAATAGTAACCCTTTCTTCCTTTTTCGTCTTTTTTTGGGTTTGGGTTCTCTCTATCTCTCTGTTTTTTTGGGTTTTTTTTTTTTTTTTGGGGGGGGGGGGGGGGGGTTAAATCATATTGGTTAAGTAGATCATCTATTATAATACAGTTGGGGTTGATAAAAGTTTAATTGACTCCATGTGCATATGGATCTTGTTTTTGCTGGTAACATACACGAGGGTAGCGTTTAGCTGTGTTCTGAGTTATTTTTTTAGTAAGTAGCTGTGTTATAAGTTAGCTTGATCTTTTTTGGCAAGCATAGCATTTTCCTTTGATTTATGCATTGTTGTATCTGCAGCACTCCAGTTACTTGTTTTATGTATAACTTACATAATAAGGTACTTTTACAATGGAACATCCAGGTTCATTTATGGTATTATCCATTTACTAATAAACCTATTTTTGTGAATACTCATCTCATGTGTTGCTGAGGAGAAACGTTGAGCTCAAATCCTAATGAGGTTGTTCTAAAAGATTTGTTCTTAAATGTCATAACATCTTTTCCACATGGTAATTATGAGTAAATATGAAAGAATGGGTAGCAATTAACAAATTTAGACATTTCTGGATGGAACCAGTAGTGTGTGGGAGCTATAGTTCCCAATTTTTGAATTTTTTTAAAAAAGACTAAGCAAGTAAAACTTTGTACTTCCAGAGGTGATTTTTTGACCTGGCATCTCTAGGTGGTTAAGCCTATTAATGGTAAATCTCTTGCTTGACAATTAAGAGTCATTTTTCGTAAAACACTAGTTTTTTTTTGTGATAGCAAGTATAGTGACCATGTAATTCACTTAAAATGTAGTGTTATTGAGCTGAAGTGTTTTGTATTTGATCATACAAGGGTGACAGAATTCAACTTCGTATCTAAATGCTGCCCATTCTTTCTCTGCACCCTCATGCAGGAATAAGTTTTTTGTTGAAATTCAAATAATTAGGTTGAAGGGTTAGTTCATTCTTGGTTGATCATCAATTTAATGTTCTCTATTAGACCTTTTTGCATCCGTTTGAGGTGTTCCTATTTGCTGAAACTGAAAATTGACATGCAAAACTCTTAAATTTGTGGTTCCCTTTTCATCGGTTCCCACTGCTTTTGTCGAATTGCTCTGATAATAATTTCATCTCTTTTTTTTTCAGCTTTCATAGTCCTGTGGGGTGAGAATATTATGGCATCATGTTATTCCTTTTAATTGTTGGTTTTTTAATCTTAACACTCAGGGTTGTTCACCTTGTAGCTTTCTAGTCACGGCAGGACATGGCTATCGTTTGTGCAGCTGAATGAGCATCTAGTCAGAGAGAAAGACTACACAGGGGAGTGTTCTGGATTCGTTTTTTAAAGTCAATTTAGAGTTTCTATTTTGGTGCTTGATCATGGGAAACAGTGAAGAAGGGAAGTCGTGTAAACCTGAGAAACCATCTTCACCAGCAGCGGTAAGCTGAGATAATTGCACATCGTTTGTTGGAACTGAAATGTGTGGGAGTTTCATGTTTAGCTGGAAAGAACTGTCATCCATTTCAAAACAATTGTAGGTTAGCTATGTGGGATAAGTGAGAAGAAATAAAATTTGTGTATGAGCATGTAACTCTTTTTTTCTGTCAGACATATTATTTTCATCACCCCTGATTTTTTTCTGATTAGTGGTATCCTTGTGCATTGGTAGGATCAGAATCAGAACAATATTCAGGTGTATCCTGATTGGGCGGCCATGCAGGTTAGTCACTCTATATGCACTTGGTCCCTGTTTTCATGGATACAACTAAGTAAAAGCCATGGTTTCATTCATTTTCTTTGAAGTTGTAGTAGTGACCTTGCTAATTTTACTTCACTTTTCAGGCATATTATGGCCACCGAGTTGCTGTACCACAATATTTCAACTCAGGGATGACCACTGGTCATGCCCCTCACCCTTATATGTGGGGACCACCACAGGTATTGTCCAAAATCCAAATAGTGAATATAGTTATTAGTTTGCATAGAATACATAATGGCTCCTGTCATATGCGAGAAGTATTGCTTTGGCCTTTCCAACTTTCAACTGTAAGACATTAGTCCTTAAAACTTCCAGTTTGTTCTTAAATAGTACGATCACTGATTTTTATCTGATGGAAATAGAAATGTGGAAGCCATCATTAAGATACGTATTCTGATGGATAAAAATTTAGCAATTCAGCTGTTTACTGATTTTTATCTGATGGAAATAGAAACGTGGAAGGAATCATTAAGATACGTACTCCAATGGATAAAAATTTAGCAATTCAGACGTTTAGAAACAAATCGAAGGCTTTAAGGACTAAAGTGTTATGGTCGAAAATTGAGGGACCAAAGAAAGACCAAGCTCAAATGTACCACTAATGTATTTTACTCTAGTAGTTTCGATTGAATTTCTTGTCTAACCATCCACTTATATGATTTAGAATCACATCCTCAGATCACAGGTTATTTTAACTTAAAGCTATCTTTTCTTGTAGCCTATGATGCCACCTTATGGGGCACCTTACGGGGCAATCTATGCACATGGAGGCATTTATGCACATCCTGGAGTTCCTCTCGTAAGTCTATGTGACATGGGTTTTACTCTACTCCTCAGAATACGAATCTTTACTCCTAGGATGTTCCTGCACTAACAGTGAGTTGAACTTTGAAAATAGGTCCCTCCTGAAGTTCTATATGTTTACACTTATACATTTGGTCAAGGTGGTTATATCCTGTCGTACAAAGCTATTTCTTAGCTGTTGCGTGTATTTCCTCCTCATGTAGTGAACAAATATGATGTTCACACCCTGCCTTCTGTTAAGATGCTCCCATGTTGCAAGAGTGTATTTTTTCTGTTTGGATTAGATGCATCTTATAATTAAAACATAAGATTGAGTGCTCTAATTCTTTCATATTCTAGGGATCTCATCCACATGGTCATGGTGTTCCAGCATCTCCTTCTATAAGTGAAGCCATGGTACTGAGATTTTCCAATGCTTTTGTCATTTTCAGTGCTGCCGCTAATAGAGCTGTTATGTTAATGAGAACTGCAAGGCAGATAGACAACAGTCTTTCTAGCTGCATTGGCATGCTGACAGGAATAGATTTCCATTCTAATCTCCAAGTGTTGTGGCAGGCTGCTTCTACTTTGAGCATGGATACACCTGCAAAGTCATCAGGAAACACTGATCGAGGCTTAATGAAGAAGTTGAAAAGTTTTGATGGGCTTGCAATGTCAATAGGCAATGGTAATTGTAATAGTGCCGAGGATGGAGTTGACCATGGGCTTTCTCTGAGGTCTGTGAACTAATGTCATTTTTCCCCATTAATCTGCTGTTGTGTAGCTTACGGAGTAGTCTGGTACTTGTTAGGGGATGAGCTTCACATCTTCCGAGAGATGTGGCCAGTCCACTGATATCGTCCTATTAGAATTCATTCATTAACTTTTTATGTTTTATGTCTTCTGAACAGCGGGGAAACTGGTGGTTCTAGTGATGGAAGTGATGGGAATACAGAAAGGGTAGGGTTTGCTTATTCTGTGGTTATTATTACAGTTTGTGTTTAACATTATTGTACTTGGTTTTTATTTGTATTACATTGGAGATAATTGTAAGCCATAATGGTTTCCCATTTTATTTCAGGTGGGTCAAAATGGAAAGAAAAGAAGCTGCGAGGGCACTCCTATTACTGGTAATATTGGGGTCCTGCTAAAAAATGTCTGATAATTACCAGCTATTTCAGATTGAAAATATAGTTTGTCTGGATCATTATTTGCAAGTTGAACAAACTCCTTTCCTGATTCCTGATTCCTGATTCCGTATCTAAATGGCACATGTGCTATGTGAAGCAGATCTCCGAGCGGAGTAATAGGTTCTGCTCCTGCTTTTGCATAGCAGTGCACCACTAGTCTAGACACATGCTCTCTGTGCAAATGCTAGTTGTGAAAGCCGATAGACATCTCCCACATGCCTGATAGTTAGATGCTTGCACCAAATTGTTGTATAGCGTATATGCTGGAGAGAGAGGACCATAATTTGCTGATAGTTTTGCAGTGAGTGTGTGTGTCAAATTATGGCATTTTTTGAATCATGAAGTGATTCAGGAATTCTGCCTCTGAGGAACCCTTCTTTGAATGGTTGGTAATATGAGTGTGGGTCTATGTGGTCATCCGTTTTGCAGTGTTTTCTCCACCTGTAGTCTTGATTTTGTGTCGATAGCAAAAAAAGTCCTGAGTTGTGCTAGACTTGTGTGGCTCAGTATCGTGTCCTTAAATCACATAGCTTTTGAAGGCAGTTGTAGTGTAAATAACTAGTTCAATTACAACAAATTGTACTCTGCTTTTAATAAAGTTCAATATGTACACTCCTCCAGCTGTTTCTCTCAAGGAAATGAGGAATCAGTGATTTGTGTCGTACATCAGTTCCATGCAATTCATCCTGCACACATATCTACATGTAGCACGATCGCAAAGATGTTTTCTTCCCATGCATGTAGATATTTCCACCGAGCCTATGGGAAGATGACGAACCATTTGAAATAGATTCTGTGGCATCCGAACACTTTGTGGTGGAGTGAGTGACATAATTTTTGGAACATAAGAGGAAAATGAAACAGGTGGGATCGGAAACTGTTTTGCTTTATTTCTCGATTTAGTTGCTTCATTATTTCACCAACAGCTGGAGATGGAAAAACAGAGGAAAAGCGCAATCCAATTCCTGGCAAAGAAGAAAATGGAGCTTCTGAGAAGATAATGGGTGTTGCTGTTGCTCCTGCTTCTGCAGTGGGAAAAGAGATGGACACTAAATTCTCCCCCAGCATGAGCATGTCATTAGAGCTAAGGAATCCTCACAGTGCGAATGGGAAGACCAGTCCAACTGGTGTTCCACAACCTTGTCCGATTATACCAAATGAACCCTGGTTACAGGTACATTCAGCATGTGTTCCTTCTTATGTTTGTTTTTTCTCCTTCTTTTACATCATTGAGATTACTCTTAGAGATTGCTGAGGCATATAATGGTCTACTGAGAATAAGGATTGTTGTTGGAAAAGAAGCCAGAAAAGATGCAATGACTGGAAGCCATCAGAGCTGATAATATTGTCTAGGACAATATTTTGAAGCTTGGCCAGATTCAGTTTGCTTGATACTGTCTCTGGGTCTTAGGCCTTATGGTTGAAGTTCATAATTGCTATCTCGAGTCTGACTTCTAAATTTGCTCTTTATTTTTCCCCATTTTATGCTCAGAATGAGAGAGAGCTTAAAAGGGAGAGGAGGAAACAGTCTAATAGAGAATCAGCAAGAAGATCAAGATTGAGGAAACAGGTAGTTGGACTGTATGACTTGCTATTTAATTTTCCTGTCATTGATTCAAACCTAGGTGCATTCCGTGTATTTGCATAGGTTGGGTAAAATCTTTTTGTTTACTTACGCCTTTTTATTCTTTGCTTTTAATTTAGGATTGTGTGCTAATAATGGTCTCTATTCTTCTCTTATAATTTTTTTTCCATCCAGGCTGAGGCAGAAGAACTTGCAATTAAAGTTGATTCCTTAACTGCTGAAAATATGACTCTTAAATCTGAAGTTCATCGGTTAACAGAGAATTCAGATAAACTGAAGCTTGAAAATACTAAACTGATGGTATAAACTTTCTGCACTTGGCTTGAAGTTCTGTTTGTCCTGGATTGCTTAGTTTTATTCTCTCCTTTGTTCCCAGAGCTTACAAATTGGTTTTGAATCAAACAGGAGAAACTGAAAAATGTGCAGCTAGATAAGATTGACAAGAGGGAGCTACCAATCGGTACAGAGAATCTACTTGCAAGGGTCGACAATTCTGGTTCCATTGACAGAAACAATGAAGAGGGTGATATGTTCGAGAATAAAAAATCTGGTGCAAACCTCCATCAACTCCTGGATGGTGGCCGCAGAACCGATGCAGTTGCTGCTGGTTAGGAGCCTGTTACCTGTGCCTCTTTTCGTCTCAATTTTAAGTTAAAATCATGTGATTTTGGCATATTACAAGCCCAAAATCACTGCTAACAAATATCGAAGGAAAGAAATAACTGATAGGATTGAAGAACTTGACTCTTAATTTTTACTTAATTGTAATTTAGTTCTCTTGGCAGAACTGATGCGTTTTAAAGTTCAGAGTGCCAGAAAAAGCACTTATAGTGGATGTAAAATGGAGAGACTTCACTTGAGAGATCCTGTTTAGGGAATGTAATATGAACTATGTATCTGGATTGTGTAATTAGAGCTCTAATGTGGTCTAATTATTGGCTACGTGGGGAGTGATTCCCTACATGAGTGATGATATTTCTATAAATCTCTGATTACACATCAGTAAAATGCATTGTACGCACGTTGGAGCCTGCAAGTTAGAAGGCTCTGATGTTAAACATGCACCTGCAAAGTACAAATTTAAGGGTGTTAATTGCTCTGAGTTTGTCAAGTCTGCGTATATTCAAGTTTGGCTCGGTTGTAATTGACCAAGTGAGTCAAGTTTTGATTTGGGCTCAAACTTGTGTGAGCTTGCAAGCATTCAAAGCAGAAACTCAACTTAATTTCTCATGCAATTTTTTTTTAAAAAAAATAACCTTTTAACTTGATTATAATTTTTTTTAACAAAAAATTCTTGAAATATGTATAATCAATAATAAAATAAGTTTAAATTTTCCAAAAAAACCATTAGGGAAGAGAATAAGAAATGGGTTTACTTAAATCAGAAGTTATTGGGAACGTGAGTTGGGAGAGTAGTATGTCTCTTCACTCCTTCAACTCGATTCAGATACTAAATTATATATTTTGGGGTTTGTTTGATAAATTTTTGGAGAGGTTTTAGTTTGACTTCTCCAAATTCAAACTCTTCTTTACAAAAATAGGATTTAACATTGAATCGGATTTATACTCATGTTTGATATGCAACAACACGTACACAAGTAGAACTCACTAATAAATCATAATTATTAACAATTATTTTACCTTTAATCAATTCAATTCATGTCCATGTTAAGGGGTATAATTATCTTTTGTACCCTTAACCCATCTTCTCAAACCCACCTTCTTCGTAAGTTTGATGAAACTCATAATCATAAATTTAATATTCGACTTAGTTACAGGTTGGGTTTGAGAATTCAAGATTGAATTTTTAATTCAAACATGAGATTTGGAGATCCTTTAAATTATTTTTTTCAAATCTATTTTATCAAACTCTCTTATACCCTTTTACCAAATAGCCCTTTAGAGAGAGGTACATAAGCTTTCCCTTTAAAGGCCTTCCACCACTTCATTGATTTGGATATGGTTTTCTCGTCAATAAAAGAAGTAATAAAAGTGAAGAGGCGGGTCAAACCGCGTCCCTTGATGTCTGCATAACTTTCTAGAGCAAATTCGACTAGTTTTGTAAGCAAATTTAGAAGTGGCAACCCGGTTCAATAGTCTTAATAATGCCTTTCCTAAGTCCAACTTTAATCCCTGTAAAACCCGAAAAAAAAAAATTATTATTATTAAAAATCCTAAAAAAAAAGGGTAAAATAATAATTAATTGTTAAATTATGGGTCAAAAACGTAAATTTCAAAAAGAGTGAGAAAAAAAAATGAGTTTTTATTTTTTTCTCTCTTTTCTTCCTTCTCAGATCTAGGAAAATTTAATCCTTTAATCGCTTCGGGCCAAAAACTAAAGTTGCTCTACTCAGCGAGAGCTACGCAACCACACCAAATATCGTATTTTTCTTCGAAGGAATATCAAAGCCGATAATTTAGGCCTAAAACTTAGGAAGCTAAATTTGGGCTTCCTTAACATTCTAATAAGTGGTCAAACGCTACGAGAGGTAGGGTTTCCCCTATTTAGATTTAATTTCAACTTAAAATATGACATATGGAATGAGTAGATTATGAGTGTATATCACATGTTAAGTCTTGACTAGTGTGACTAGTGGGTCAAATATAGAATTTATAATTAGTCTTGTGATTAATAAAATTCTATTGTGATTAACTTGGTATAAGTTAATGTTAGTAGTTTAAAGCATGTTAATTGTATGTTAGCATTACTTTATATTTTAATGGCAGATCAAGTTTAATAAAATTATTAACTTGTTATATGATTGTGAAATAATATATATATGTTAAATGATTATTTAACATATGATTATTTTGGTGGACTTTGTGCTTATGTTAAACATGTTATCATGTTGCAAGTCATAGCATGCTAGTTGTGTAAATTGATGTACTTTTTAGGTGTTTGATTAAATGCCTAGGTGAATACAAATATGTCAGTTGAGTTGATTATCTTACATAACATGCTTGAGATCGTGTTAAAATGTCATTATATTGTATTCATTATGTAATAGACATTGTATTTCATTATGCATGGATTGCACTACATTCATGGGTATTGACATGGGTGAGAGTGTATGCATGGTATGAAATCAATTACCACGTAAGTGGTTAAACGTGGACTCGAAAAAGTCGCACAAAGGTTCGGTTGAGTCGCACGAGAAATTAAATGGATAAATATGTTGGGGACAGCACGAAGGGCTAGATTCTCCCTCGGGTGCAAGACCTGCTTACTTGGTTTATACACTTTCCAGCGGTGAAATTTCAGAAAAGTGTAACGGCGGAAACGGAGCCGCAGGTGAGATGTCCTGAAGATCCGTTGATGGTTGGTGTTCCACTGGTGTAATACCATAAATCACCTCCCTACAAAGACACAAGAAAATGAATTAATTAGTAATTGAGTGTACATAACACCAATGATGGGAGCTTGGAATGCTCGGATACATACGCATGACATTGCATGTGTTATGGGAGCTCAGGATGGGGCTCGGGGTTGGTATTGCTTGCGTGAGTCTTATCTCATGGCATGACATGATCTATAACATTCAATCATAATAGACATATTTAAATGAATGTATCAAATGATTGTTGCATGTGACATTCCATATGCATTTAAGTTGAGAGGTATTCTCTATAGGAGTTACCCTATTGAGCGTTGGCTCACCCTTTATGGGAATATTTTTCAGGTATCGCACAGGCGTCCACCGAAGGGGAGGCCATGGGCCCGCTTTGACGACAGAGCCGGTCTGTGACTTTTATTTTGATATTGTAGTCCCTTGTTTATACTTACTTTTGACCTTGTATAATTTTTGTAACAAATATTTGTTTATATTTACAAAGGCATGTATATGAGACTCTTTTGGGACATTTATTCTTTTACGAATAAATGTATGTATTGATAATGATTATGGTAGTATTCGAGACTATACAATTGTGAATTGATAGATAGACCCGGTGTGGTCAATATTGTACAGGTTGCGTTTTGAGTAGAGCTCCTCGTACAAAGGAGACTCTGTCCAAATTTTGTTAAGTTATGGATCCCGATAAATGGGACATAACGGTGTAGTATCAAATTACACGATATCCACCAGTATTACACAGGTCGATGGATAATCAATCGGATAATTACAAACACCCGGACTTTGAGGTGTCACAATCCCAACCACCAATATTGGGCAGGTTTAAAAAAGCCTACTAATGTGTGCTTTGTCTATACTTTTCTTGCAAATCCAGCTTAGATTTGAGGACAAGATAAGCGCTGCTTGACCCATACGAAGGTCCCACATGAAGATCACAAAAAAGATTTGCTACTAATACTAGAACAGGAAAAACTAATGATGTAAACTTTTTTTTTATACCATATAATAAAATACTATTTTTGAAGTCTTTAAATTTTTGTTAAATTTATTTACAACCATTGATGATGAAATAATAAAAAAATACTTGAAACCTGTCATATTCTCACTAGACAAAAAAAATTTAAGTTAAAATAATTTTTCGATAATGGACCCCTAATGTAATGAGTTCATCTATGTTTGGTGTGAATCATAATCTAATGTTTTGGGGGTAATACTAGAGGCCTAGGCAACAAAAAAAGAACCATAGCCTCTCAAATTGGAAAGCTAAGGCATTTGAAAGATTGTGAACTTTGAATGCTAAAACAAGTGATTGGATCGTGCATTATTTTTGTGACAGTTTATGCGTATTTTAACTAATCGTCTCCTCTAGTTTGGTTAAAGACAGACCATCCACGCGAAGACTAAAATATTCATAAAGAATAAATTTTTCATAATCTAATCCCAATGAATTGCTAATATTCAAATTCAAAACGGCTACACCTCGTCTTTATTATTATTTGAGCTATTCTTTGAAATTATAGTTTGTTTGTTTTATTTTTTGGAAAAAATGGATGAGACCAAAAGAGAGCGTGTAGAGATCATATCGATAAATTTTCACCGATAGATCATATCGATAAATTTTCACCGATAGAGTCATTAGATTCCTGACAGTGTCCGTTACTTTTTTTGAAAACAAACTTAACTATGCTAGTATAACAATCAACTACTAAACTCCAATATAATCTACAAGATTTGAAGATAAAAACTTTGATCGATACCCTATTGATCAACCTCACTCTGGTGGTGAGTTATAGTTTGTTATTCATTGTGAAATCTATCTATTGACTTTATCCTCGTATATATTATTTTAAATTTTTATATGCTGAAAAAAAAAAAACTGACAAGTGAACCCACGAATTTGCAAGATACTATATTATTATCGGCCATCTTTGCACCAGTACAGTGCACACTGTCTTCTTTCTTTGTCCACTTTAAGCGGCCTTCCCCTTCAAGAATAGAATATGAATTGTCTGAATCTCAATACGCTTTTACGAATATTGACTGTTTATTTAGCTGTCACGTATCTCCACGTCCTTCCTCTATCCAACAGATTCAAATAAACATTTTTTTTTCCTATCGTAATGCGATAATATTCATGTATTTAATTCTGTTCTTTGCATGTGTGCACATACTTTTTTGCATTCCAATCTGAACTAATTTGCTTCGTTCCCGTTCTTAATCTCAGTCAATTAAGGCATACTATACTTCTTCTCGAACAGTTCTACATCTGGCTTTGATACTCTCAATGGTTTAGTGTTTTTTAAGATTTATCAGCGTTTCCTTCAATGGGTATTTTTTGAATTTGAATATATTTTTTTTTTCATGAACTTACGATTTTGTTAGTCTAATTACTCTGTTAGTTGTTGTCTCCTAGTGGGTATCGACTTGGGCTTTGAGGGTTCAAATTCAAATTTGAAAATTTCATTTCATTTCATTTCTTCAAGTTTCCTATTATGTTCCATTTCTTACTGCATTTGATTGTCTTCTTAATTATGTCTAATATGAACATTTTCTGGTTAATTTCCTAGCTAACTATTGTAGGAGTTGGAACATTTTCTCGCAGTTGCAAAGTTGATGGTTTCTTAAGATCGTTTTGGGGATGGGGTTGCTCGTAAATGTTAATGCATTTTGGGAGTTTATGGGTTAAGGGTCTTCTGAATCTGGAGAGGGTAAGATTCAGAATGTTGAATAGGTAGGTGAATTTTGTTACTTTGGTTCACGAGATCAGAAAGTTTTTTCCCAAGAAAGGTTGTCATGGTGGTAAAAATTATCAACTGTCCTGGTCACATTTGTCCCCCTTTATTCATGTTGTCGGCGTTCCTCGTCTCAGAAAAGTTTAATTAGGACTTCCAAGTTGCTTTAAGGACTCGTTTGGAGGAGAAGGGGGAGGGGGGTGTTGTTGATTTGGTTTGTGGTTTTGCCAAATGGGGCATTCTTCAGCAGTTTGGGATTATAAGGTTGGAATTGAAGTGTCAAAGGACTGGAATGGGATCGACCAGATCGTGCTTCGGAATCCCCAAGGGGCTTCTGCTCGGGTTAGATCCTTTAGGAATGCATTTTTGAATTTGGTTCACTGAAGTAAATGAATTTTAGTATTGCCTTTGTTGCTTTGATCCATCATAGGAAACTTGTGACATACATATAGTTCAAGGTTTATAATGTGTAGCAACATAAATTCTAAGAAGATTTCTGCTAAGTTGAGGGTTTTTTCTGTTAATTTTCCAGGTTAGCTTGCATGGAGGACAGGTTACTTCATGGAGGAATGATCGAGGTGAAGAACTGCTCTTCACCAGCAGCAAGGTATGACTTCTGATTATTACAATCTTTGATAACAATGAAACTGCTCTGTTTTGTTTTTGAGTTCATTTCAAATTTTATAATGGGTGGAAACCTGTTTGCAATGACATTAACTTATAAGCAGCCTGATCTGGTCGACGGCAGTACAAGTTTTGAAACCATCTGATTTGAATGATTTTCCCATAATCTGGATTCGAGGGCAGAAGATAATTTGTCTACCTGGTTGAAGGTTTAGTGAATGGAATCTGTGTGCTGAACCCTTTCCATGTTCAATGAACTTCCTTTTCTTTGCCCATATGCTATGATAATAGACATTTTTTTTTTTTGGTTTAACGGTCGGGGGTATCTAGACCAGTTTACACGTAACTCGACTAATCTCTTCCCCCAGTTCGGTCAAATGTAGGCCATCCATGTTGGGATTAAGAGTGTTTACGAGGGATAAATCTTTTATGGCCTAGCTCCAAATAGTTACCAAGATTCAAACTTAGAACAACTTGTCCCTGTTACCATATGAGTTACCTTGGGTTTGATAAGAGATTTTACCAAAGCTAGATGATCTCCCACAAATCCTCTTTTTTGTAGACAAGAAACTTAAAAGATGTTCAAGCATGTGGTTGATTATATTTTGGTAGGATAGCAGGGGATGCAATCTCATTCTGTAATGGTGTTTTTCATACATTGTAGGCAATCTTTAAGCCTCCAAAATCAATGCGTGGAGGAATCCCTATTTGTTTCCCCCAGGTACTTTCAGTTATCCCTTTCTATAACTACTAGTTTTGGTCTTCTTAGGCATATTTAATAGCATAGTAGTAGTGATTATATTCTACTGTTGTTTTATGCTAAAAATTGCAGTTTGGAAACTGTGGGTCACTTGAGCAACATGGGTTTGCAAGGAGCAAAATTTGGACAATTGATGATAATCCTCCACCTCTGCACCTAAATGAAAGCACTGGCAAATCCTTCATTGACTTGCTACTCAAACCATCAGAAGAGGATTTGAAGTGCTGGCCACATAGGTATGCTTAGAATTTCCCTTCAAACTTCTTTGTTGACTTCAAACTCCAGCGGCACCAGTACTATGGGTAACTAATTATCTTATGACAACTAGACAAGCTTGGTTGAAGACCATGGTTTATGCACTGCTAATGTAACGGCTTGTCGAGTCGACACATGAGCAATCCAACCCATAGGATTTCCTTTTCCTGTGACTCCTCGTGATGATGGCTCATTGCTAGCAATTAGCTTAATGTACTTTTTTTTTTTTTTAAATATCATGGCTGGACTCTAGATCAAGCCGACTTCTTTCAAGTAACACATACTTGTCTTCCCATGTCATTTTTTTGTTTTGAGGGAGAATACTATGAGGTTCTTTATCCTCTAGATGAGAAAGGAATTAAGTTTCTGATTGAAAACAAAAGGGAACACTTTAATCTAGTGCTGGGTATTGGGATTTTTCCCTTTAAATGTCAGTTTTGTTGTATCTAAAGAAAAGTAAAAATTCTCCGAGCAATGTTATGCTTATTAAATTATTTATCAAATTTTGTATCCCAAATGAGTGTGGGTGGTTGGATCAGTGAGGTCCACTAACTTCCACAAAATACTCGATGTATAAGATTTTGATACATTATTTAGAATACAACATTTGATAAACAAATTTAAGAAGCATAATTTTATCCAAATCCTTATGACATCAAAAGGATATGAATGCCAACTGTAATACGGCTATGATTTTTTTTAAGGGTGTCATATGTTGACTAACAGAGGACATCTTTGTTGAATCTTATTCATAGAAAATATTCCATGTTCCATTCATAGTTCTAAAGCTTTAACATGTCTTGATAATTTATTTATTTTTTGGAGGAGGAGGAGAGGACTTAAACTCTTAGATTCTTGACTCAAGAAGACAAAATATTCACAAAGTAAAGAGTATTGTTGGACCAAAAATCCATCGATACATGTCATGAAAATTAGATGTCGCTGACGGAGTCCTTTTTACGTTTTTCTTTTGTCTTTCCAGTTTTGAGTTCCGTCTTCGGGTTTCTCTTGCATCAGATGGAAATCTGGCCCTCATATCTCGAATTAGAAACATCAACGGCAAGCCATTTAGTTTCTCATTTGCTTATCACACATATTTGTCAGTTTCTGACATAAGGTATGCAGCACTTTACATTGAAGGTTTTGTGTTTTCTATTCTTACATGTAATGTCTGGACTTTAGACATTATACTTACTGAAGAGGAACTGTATCCGCAGTGAAGTAAGGATAGAAGGACTGGAAACACTAGATTATCTCGACAACCTTTGCCAAAGAAATCGTTTTACAGAACAAGGAGATGCTATAACGTTTGAATCTGAGGTAAAACTTCTTGTTCATCATTTCTAATGTAATGTCCCAGATCTGCATTATACAATATTAGCCAGTTTGGGTAAGGCTCACATGACTTTAAAACTCATTGTACAATGAAGGTTTAAATTCACACTTATGTATCACTTCACATTCACCTCATTAGTAGATGTGGGATTGAGTTGTCAAAATCTATCCCCTTAACCCAAACGTCCTCCCTTGGGCCCTGACCCGATGTGGGCCTATGGGGGATTACTCATACCGTGCTAGCTACCACCTTCCTGTTGGACTAGGGTGCACCGAGGGATGCACAGCCTTAGGTGGCCTCCACACCACAAGTGTCAATAAATCTGATACTAATTATAATATTTTATACTAGCATTGTATATTATTGTCCGTTTTGGGCTGGACTTGCACGACTTTAAAACGTGTTATATAATGAAGGTCTAAAACTCACACTTATGTACCACTCCACATTCATCTTGCTAGTCGATGTAGGATTGAGTAATTTTAGAACTTAAATGGGGAGGAATACTCAAGTTAATGGAATGGTGCCAAAACTCACTCTTTTTGGTGGGCATTGTGGAGGAATGAGAATGGATTTATTACTCATAACAGAATGTTAGATTGCTTTTCTTGAACTTGTTTGAGGGCTTTAGAGAAGGGTTTATTACTCATGGCATGATGCAAGGTGAGATAGTCGATGAAATTTATTGGCAATAATGAAAGATTTCATTGTAAGTTGAGGAGATGTTAGAAATAACTGTACTTACTCTCACCACAAGTATTGATCAATGATTTATCCTTTTTTCCCCCCGGTTTTGTTACTTATAAAACCCTAGAAATATGAAAGTGTTAACTTCTTCTTAGAAGTGTCAAAATATGACACGATTCGTTAACACGAAACAAATATGACACAAAATTAGATGGTTTGAGTTTTCTTTAAATCATCCGTTTCACAAATGAATGGATCCAACGGGACATGATTAATAAACCAATCGAGTATGAGTAAAATTAATCAAAAGAAATATATGATACAACACGACTCGTTTATATACCGGTTGTACATGATACGACGTTAATATGACACTATTTATTATACACAAATTAATAAACAAATCAGGTATGAGTAGAATGTTTTTTTTGACATGAAACTGCCTCACATTGAAAAACTTATTTCTTTCATTCCCCAATTTTTTGATAAGCAAAGTGGAATTAGACTTTAATTTCTTTCCATTCCCACAATTATATCAATAATTTTTTTTTTTCATTCCTAAGGTCTTTGGTTGAGATGAACGCGACTGTCCAAAAGGTTTACCTATTCTTGCAGGTGGATCGAGTTTATCTTAGTTCTCAAAATTGCATTGCAGTCCTTGATCATGAACGGAAGCGAACATATGTACTAAGAAAGGAAGGGTTACCAGATGTCGGTAAGATGCATTCCATTGATTGAACTCCAAAATGCGAAAAAAAAAGGACAAAGAAATAGAGATTTTTGAAAACAATATATCTAATTGGATTGAAGTAAATGAGCAAGAGGAACAATGTATATCTAATACTTGGTTGCAAGCTGAGTTGAGTCTGTCGAACCTGTTTTTTTAAACGAGTTTAAAAAATTATTTAAATTTGGCTCGTTTAAAAAATTAGCCGAACTCAAATAACTTAATTATTTTATATATAAAGGAGATGAGTTTTGCGAACTTTAGCTGAGTATAAAAAATATTCAAGTTTGACTCGTTTTTTTAAATGAGCTGTGCTCAAATAACTTAATTATCAACCCTAACTACGGAACATTTTTTGAATGTGATTCCTGTGTTTCACCATCTACCGTCTATTTATGCCGTTTTCTTCTCTTCATTTAGTGGTGTGGAATCCTTGGGATAAGAAGTCCAAATCAATGGCAGATTTTGGGGATGAAGAGTACAAGCAAATGCTTTGTGTTGATGGAGCAGCAATAGAGAAACCAATTACTTTGAAGCCGGGAGAGGAATGGACAGGTCGCTTGGAGCTTGCCGTTGTGTCCTCAAGTTTTTGTAGTGAGAACCTTCACCCCCAGATGAGGTTTTTCTAAGCTCTGTAGAAAACCAGCTGAGATATGTTCTTCTTGATGTTGTTAGGTGTACTTTTGTGTTCGAACTGAACAAATGTAAGTTGACTTTTTGTTACTATTATCTTTAGAAAATAGTCTGTAATCTAGCAAAGCCTGTGTTTTCAAGAAAGAAAATATTACATAAACTCAAAACTTAAAATTCAAATACTTATCATCTTTTGGAAAAATGTGAAATGAGTGAATCTTACTAAAAAAATTGATAAAATCCACTTATCCAAAGAATGATATGCATTTAAGTAATAACTTTTTAAATTTTATTTGAATTTTGTAACGTTGCTCTTTCAAGAATGGCTGCTCTTTCGTTTGAATTATATCCCTTTGCTGTAATTATCTCTGGCTGAGAGGACGAGGTCAATGTTTTTCAAGAATGGTTGCTCTTATTTTAATCGTCTACTTTTCTTTTTCTGGGTATTGCTTTTGGTTGGGTTAGGAGTTGGAATACCAAAAATCTAATTTCAAAAGAAGAAATCATTTAAATGAGCAAATCTTTTGGTTCTATTGGATGACAAAGCTCATAGATGCTAAATCAGGGTGACAATTTCTAATGCAACACACGAAAACACCACTAAAAAATAATGGATTATGATTGACATTTTCTCAACACGAATTCATATATGATACAACCCATTAACACGAATATATGACACAAGTACCAAAGATGTTCCCATTCTGCAACTTAAGCCAATCAACATCAAATTGATGCATTCATCGGCTCTGTTATATATCTGTTTTAAACTTTGGATTTTTGATAGCCAATAATTTGTTTTTGTTTGATGCTTTCTGCATGCTCTAAATTCATATATACGTCAAAAAAACAGCTGCAATTTCATTAAAATGGAAAACAAGGAAACCAGAAAGCAGAACAAATAAAGTGCACTAATCAAACTAAATTAGTAATTGTCACTAGAATTTCAACATTCAATTTCTGTACTAATAATCTGAGAAGAACCCCAACTGCCTCCTGCAGCTCTTTTTTTTCTCGTTTGTCTCACTAAAATGTACAACTTTAAGGATAAACAACCCATATCACAAAATTCAAGTGTCTCAACAAATTTTTTTTTAAACGAAAAACAAAGATGGCAGAAACAAGATAAGCATACTTGCCACCTAGGCATGCCATCCACCAATGCAATTGTGCTATTTTTCTGATAGAATAAAGCAAACCAAATCCATGCGAAATTTCCAAAAGTACATAAGAAGTGAAGATTAATAACCTGCAAAACAGATGTATAGCAACCCATAACTACCCATGCAATCTGATTATTCTAGAGTCTTGATGTTCACTTTAGGGCTCATTTCAGGATGCTTTAATTTTCTGTTTCAATTTCAGCAGGAGAAAACAGTTTTTGAGCAGACAAACAGCACCAGCAAGCATATTATCTAAAAGAGGTCTGGACTACGTTCCTTATCCGTTTACATTAATGAAAATCTGTTCCATATTATCTAGATGTTTGGTTGTGTCATCAGCATGATAACAAGCATTGTTCAAATCATAATCCATACCTCTCAACAGCTGAAGAAAGGCCTGAAGTTCTGTACCCTGAGTCCTGACTAGAAGCTATACACCCCGACGATACTCTAGTTGCTTTGTGTTTTCTTGTAATACCTGCCAACCAAACCAACAGCAAATCTTAATAAATTTCACAGGGATGGAACAATATGGGAAATTCCAACATTTTTTGGCTAGAAAAAATGAACAAAATTGTGGGAAAAAAATTAGGTTGAATTTTTTTCTCACTTCTCGAATGTAATTTGCCACTGCCTTGCAACCTTCTATAGCGAGCTGCATGACATTTTCGAAGGTATCCATTGGTAGTTTAGCATCCATCTGTTCAAGAAACATAATTTAATCAATATCTACATTAATTGAAGAGTAAATACATCAGTTTGTGTCTACGAAAAGAAGCTACACTAAAGTCAGGAAAAACCAAACAAGTTTAATCCAAGTATGCTGACTACAAACAAACAATGAATAAAAAGAGAGCACACATGCAAGTGTGTGAAAGTTTTGGTGATATTTCTCTCTTCTTTTTATGTCTGGGTGGGTGTGGGTACAAAAATGGTTAAGTAATAAAATAATTACAGGATGTTCACAAGGGATATCCAATTTAGCATTTAGTATGCTTTTTCACGTTTTCCTAGAAATATTTCAAAAGGTATTCGACAGAGCTATTCAAATGGCAAATTGCACACCATCACATGATGGTTTAGAAAAAATATGAAGGGGGGAGAAAAAGAAAAGGGAGAGAATAAGTCTTTTTACATATGAGAGCTCTTGGGAAGGACAAGAAAAATTCGCAAGAATCGCAACCAATAAAGGATCATCAAAATAAAAACAATTTAGTTAATCAGTTGAAAATGTTGCATCTGCCCATCAAAAAACTCGATAAATAAAAAATAATCTGAAAATAAAAAATAAAAGTGATGATCAGAAAAAAACCTGAAGAAGTGTCACGTTGTCCAGTTTTGATAGAATTCCTACAGTGACATCAGGGCCTCCAGCACTATCTTCTACATAGTTTAGATCTGCCCATTTGAAAAGTACCAACTTAAAAAAAGGTGGGTAAATAAACCGGAACATAAAACATGAGGATTGATATAAAAGCAGAGATGCATGTACTCAAGAAATAACTGAGGTAGTGTATGTACTTGCCAAGCAGAGGAGTTGTATTGAGGTATCCAGCACTACAAGAAGTAACAAGATCACGCATCGGAATTCCTGCGTCTGCGAGGGCCAGAGTTGCAGCATTTATGCATGCTGATCTTGTTCCTGAAGAAAGCAAATATTCAGAGACCAGGCTCCCCTTCTAGAAGGTAAGAAAGGCATATTGAATACTTATTGGCCCGGATGCCCCAGACAAACCAAATTTTTACCAACATAGATCCCCCTTTGAATGACCCAGGGGAGAAGGGCAGAAACAACATATCTAGATGATTACATCATATTGACTCTAACCAAAACACAGACTGCAATGGACAGCCACTTGGGTGTCAACTTACCTCCATCTGCTTGGAGAACTTGGACAAATATGTCTATCTGCCAAGCACAACAACAAGGCTCAATACAAAATAAAGCAATGCACTATCTTGTAGGGAAGATCCCCATTATGTTGTACAAGTACCTGAGAACGAGGCATTAGGTGAGTCAAAATGCATGCTTCCATGCTCTGGCGAATAACCAGAGATATCTCCGTGGATCTCCTGCATGTTGCAAGGAAAAAATTATAAAGAAGGCAATTGCACCTAAACCAGGAGACAAACATGGACCATATTAATTTCAACCATGCAACAAATCTATGTCATGCCACTTTTGTGTAAATAAGGACCTGTTTGATAGCTAGAGAACACAATCTACCAAATCATGTTTTCCCCTATTCTACTCAATGTTCCGTTTTCTTTGGGGAGGATTTGGGGTTGGGGAAGGGACGAGACAAGGAGAATTTGTTCAAATGAAAAGGCCAAACTTATCAAATCATGACAACTGGTATTATATTGGACTTCATATATCATATGGCACATTACACATGACCAATTCTGACTTTGGGGTAAAATTTGAGCATCCCTTCCATGGTGTGTGATGTGTAACGGTAATCTTGAGAGTATTGATCATCTTTTTTTTACATTGTCCAGTTTCCTTGACATTGTGGTATCATTTGTTTCATGAAGTGGGCTTGAGCTGGGTGATTCCAGCAACATCAATTTCTTTGTTTGTTGAAGATATAAAAGGACTAATACTTGCCACTCTTTGGATTTGTGTTATAATGGCTACGTTTTTTGGTTATTTGAAAAGAACAAAACACAAGAATTTTTGAAAATTGGTGTAAATGTGGAATTGTATTTGTTTCTTAACATCTTTTTTGGCTTCGGTGTCAAAGGAGTTTTTTGCTTTTTGCTATTTTAACAGGATGAGCTACATTTGATTTATAGGCTCTTTTTATACCTTGCTTTTTGATTGCTCGTAGTTGAATCTCTTATCTCACCTCTTTATATGTAACATATCTTTTATTTATTTTAAATACGAGTTTTGTTTCCTATCAAAAAAAAAAAGTGCAACTTATTCCAATAAGGAAGAGTAGCCAAACCCAAAACATTTGTTTGTTAGGACCTCAAACCTAAGAATCATAGATACGATCATAGTTATCAAATCGTGTATCAGAAGACGTATAGTTTTTTAAAAATAGTGTATCGTATCGTGTATCGTAAGATACAGTGCAATTTTAATTAAATAATAAAAAAATATATATACCTTTGAAAAAAAATCATACATTCATAAAAATATTGCATTTCATTCATACTTCACCACCTATTCAAGTCATCAACATAGTTCGCTAATATTATAATGCAAAGTTAACAACTATAGTTCACTAATTCAAACTTCAAACCCCAAAGAGATTTTTAATCCAAATTTCTAACATCCATTTTGAACTCGATCCATAAAATTAATCAAGATTCAGAAATTTTTATACAAAAAAAAAAAATTAGTGTCTTATTTAGACAAAACGACTTCGTTTCAGGAAAAAAAAAAATAGGTTTTACGCGTATCGGTCGTATCGTACCGATACGTATCGTATCGTAAAAACGTATCGTGTATCGGACGATACGGTGCAAAAACGATACATAACTACGATCTGTATCATTTTACCTCCGTATCGTACGATACGTATCGCGTATCGTACGGTACTAACAACTATGGATACGATGTGACACGGATTCGTTTACAAAAATTTTCAAAAAAATAGGACATGGACACATGAAATATTATGTATTTAATTATACACACACACACACACATGCATGCGACACACTTACACCCTCACCACCTACTCTTATCCACTCTTTCAATCCTATCTCTTTGCTCTAATAATCATCTTACTCGAGATCAACCACAAATTAAATATATAAATATCATGTGATAAAATAAATATATTTTGATAATAATCATTCAATTCACCCTATCCTTAATCTAACAATTTACAACATGATATCGAATGAAAAAAATAATATCACGCATACCGAAACATATTCATGATTCAACTATTAATGACTATTACAATTCCATTTTAAAAGATATCTTACTTCGTAATCCTAATTTTCATCAAATTTAAAAAGTCCTAATTTCAAACCTCATTTTTTATCACATTATTTTCGTACATAAAATTTATTCCAGTTGTATATAATTTTGTTTATGTTCGAAATTATGTTATATTCACATATTCATGAAATTATTATAACTCTTTTTATATTATGTCTTTAACCCATATCTCTCTAAAATTACAAAAATAACTTAATTATAAAGTGTGTTTTGTTTGGTAAGTAACTTAGTTATAAAGTTACTTGACAAGTTTTCAAAAGCGTGTCCTCCACCATGTAAGTCATGTGTCCCCAACATGTCCAAAGTGTCTTCAAAAAAAATTAATAATAAAAATATCAAACCCTCATTTTAACGAGTTTGATGTGTGTCCGTGTCCCTGACATGTCAAACACCAACACTTTGATCAAAATAGAGTGTTCGTGCTTCCTAGCCTCAAACTAAACAAAAGGGGAAAGCAAAATTAAATAAAAAAATAGGGACATACCGATGAAGAGACCGAAACTTCCATTTTTCGCAAATGCAAATTAGATTTGCACGTAATAAGCATGGGGGAACATGTTCTACGATTAGAAGCCAGCACTTCCATATCATGAATGATTTTCATCTAAACATGAACTCGTAAGGCTTTACAAAGGAGTACAAAGTTTTGTTTTGGGTCAAAACCAGCAACTGAAAATTCAAGAAATTTCTAGTTGGAAAATCCCACTCAATTTGGCATTCATAAATTCATCATACATTGGCCACTAGTACCTATTAGATCATTCGTTTTCCAAACATTTCAAGCTGATTATTTGTAAGGTATATATGCATACTATAAACATGTAGCATTCAAGAATATCACACTTTCACAACCAAGTTTCTTCTTGGATAAGTTAATGACAGGATAGCCAAGCAAGCAATGATACAATGCCTATCTAAATTGTATTTTTAAAGCATGGGAATCCAAAATTTCTTGAAGAGGAATATCACGCCAACGGCCAACCAATGTGCATACCATGAGAAAATGTATCATTATAAATGAATATACAAGGCGGAAAAACTAAATTACAAGAAATAAAGATAGAATAACCTGTCGCCCTTTGGTTTTCTCCTGCGATCTCCGGTACTAAAATTAGCCATGCTATACTCACAACGAACCTTAAAAGATGCTAATATTAATATCAGATGCAAGAACGGGTTAGTAAATCTAAACAATTGTAAATGAACCATGAAAGGTTATTACCAGCGCTTGGTCATTCATTTGTTGGCTCCTGTTTTGGACCTAAAGCAAACCAACAAAAACACCAATATAAACTAAGCCATCAAGATACAAAAAAATGGCCATCTCACTACTCAACACATCACAAAAATCATAACTACTAGCATCACTGCCTTAATTTAATTGCGAACTATCTTGTGTCTGTCATAAATTGGAGTTGATATCTAGTTAGTCAAGTCACTAATGATTTAGGCACGTGTGGCAATTCAAAAGGACAGCTCCATGTCATTAGCATGTAAACCTCCTGGTAACCCAGTGCATAACACAATGCCCAACTTCCAGCATTAAAAACGCAATCTACTTTACAACCCATATTTGAGATTTTTCAGACCTCCTCCAAAGACGCATTAGTTAATTATCTTCTACAAGCAGCATAAAATGTTCAATTGCATTTAGTTTACATGAAAATTAAGCACAAGAAGCATAGACTAATCAGAAGAACATGTTAGAGGACATCAATGTATACCTCTCTGGGGCCATATACAGCAGCAATAACTTTGGTGTTACCCATCTCAAAAACAGCAGAACTGCACTTAAAAGCACACATATCAATTTAAACCCAAAATATATATATACAGAATGTTTAAGTGTACATGTGTGTGAGCATATACATCGATGCTGTAGTGTAAATTACCCATCAGCTTTCGCGACAGCACCTATTTCCGCCCGAAGCTGTCTCATCTGAGATTAAATACATAAGCATAAAAAAAGGAAACGATGAATGACAAAACAATGAATATCAGCGAGATTGAATGAAACACTACACGTAAAACTTTAAATAAAAAAAAAAATCGGAGAGCGATAGAGACCTCCATGGGACGGCGTCCATCTAGCCGGAGTCCTTCCGGACTCACGTACTCCATCCCTACGCGATGCGAGAGGGAGCGAGGAAGAGAGAGAGAGTTGTTGTACCTACAGTGACTACGAAAGCAGAGAGCGAGCGAAAACGAGAAACAGAAGAGAAGCTAGGGTTACAACAGGGTTTGAGTTTAAATCGAGTTAAAAGACAGACGAAAAATCCACCCGATTGCTGATGTCTTATCGGGTCCGTTACACTAATCAAAAAAAAAAAAATTAACGTCTTATCGAAAAGCGTAAATAGCAGTTTATACCCTTAAAGATTAAGTAATTCTTAATTTATGCTCTCAAATGTCAATTATTTTAAATTATGCCCTCAATAAAATTAATTGGTACATTGCCATAACGTCTATTGCGATTGATAGCCACGTCAACATGTAATGCACATGATAACTTTTGTTAGAGTATTGCCCTTCCCCTTTTTCACGTGCTTGTCAATCTAATAAAAACCACAACAAATGTTATGATTAGAGTTGGGAATTTCGTCAAATGGACAACCACGTGAGATGTAAGTAATGGCTTTTTGTTGGATTATGACCCTTTTTCTTTTCACATGCTTATCAATTTTGATAAAAATCGCAACAAATATCATAATTGAGGTCAAATTACTATTAATTAATTTTATTGAGGGTACTAGTTAAAATAATTGATTTTTGAGATATAAATTGAGAATTTTAATAAACTATATCGAAGTCCCTAAACTAAGATATTTGTGTTAATTAAATACTTAAACAATTATTGTCTCAATTTAGACTATTAACCGTACATTTTGGCTCGAGGAGACCATTCAGTCCAAAGTTATTATTAATTTTAATAGAAAGTCTTATGTACCATCAAATGTATACAGAAAAAAAAAATGTATAGTTTTAAGTAAAATATTATACAATTCAAATGAAACTTAAGTGCATATAATTAGTAGGTCTTACTGGAAAAAAAAATTGATGAAACTTACTCATTTTAAGAGATAATATGTATTTGAATTATAATTTTTTGAGTTTTATTGAAAATGTGTAACATTATTCATAATTTTAATTATACATTGAATCAGATTGTATAATCGAAAAATTAAAGTGAGAGAAAAATTACTTTAAATTCTTAGTTGACACAAATTATAAACTTTAAAGCCTCACTTTAAAATATTATGGGTGTGGTCGATCATGTCAGTACTAATACCCCAAATCCCATTAGAACTCTATAGTTAGTGTGTTTGGACTAGAGTAGTATTAGGAGATCCCATGAGAAGTCTTGTGTTGCACCCTTTAAAAAAAATAAAAATAAAATACCAGCAGTGTTAGTTTAAAAAAAAAAAATAGAAATCCTAGTCTGGTAATCTAGTTGGGATAGCAAATCAGAGCATCCCGCCAAGTCACCGCATAGGATAGGAGCCGCGCGTCGATGTCGTTGTTCATCTTCTTCTGCCAACAATGAGTACATCCCCCGACCCTCCGACTTTTCCACAAACGCCATCTCTCTCTCTCTCTCTCTCTCTCTCTCTCTCTCACACACACACACACACACACACACACACACGCACAGAGACATCCCCTTGAAAATATCAGATTTACAGTAGATCTCTGCAATCTCCATCAGGTTATTATCCAGCTTCGCCAATCACTACTTCAAGTTCCATTTTCATCGAAGTCAATCGCAATGCGGGCCTCTATATAAACTCCATGGTTTGAATCTCTATGCATTTATATTCTACCACATCTAAATAGTGTTTATTTGAATAATTTTCGTATCATCATGTTAATCAACATTTTCATTTTCGTATTCATTTGAATCGTAGCAATTATCACAACTTCCAGATTTTGGTACTTTTTTTCCATTTTAATTCCTCATTAATCGCATCTAAACCTGTTTCAATTGATTTCATCTTCAACATTTGCTTAATCTTATCCACAAATCACGAATCATATTGTGGAAAATACTTTGAATTCACCAAAACATTGTCATTTCATTCGTATCCTTCTATTGGCAACTGAAATTCCGTATACGAATTTAGAGATTTCGTTTTGTTGAGCAAATTTTCTTGTGATTTGATGATTTATTTTCTGTTTTTTTGTCTCTGAAAATAGTATCAGAAACCAGAGAGAGTTCGAAAATGCCTGAACCAGAACGGGTTCTACAAAAGCCTCCGGGCTACAGAGACCCCACCCTCCCGATTCGAAGACCACCACCCCGGCGAGCAAACATACCACCCTCGTTTCACCCATACAAGAAGCGTAGCTGTTGCTGCAGATGTTGTTGCTTCATCTTCATCCTCATTGTATTCCTCATCCTGCTCTCCACCGCCTTGGGCGGCTTCTTCTATGTTTGGTTTGAACCAAGACTCCCAGTTTTCCACCTCAAGTCCCTCCACATGCCCAAATTCAAAGTAACTGCAAGTAGGGACAGTTAAAATTAACTCAACACATGCACGTCTCATTTATAATTGTGTAGTCAGATCGATTGAGTCGGGTTTGTGTTGTATCCAAGCCATGTTAAGTGGAACTATTGTGGATTTGATGAGCCTAAGGGTCCACTCGATTATCACTTAAACTGGTTAATTGCTTAACCTAAAACCCCAAACTTGTGTCGATTTCATGTCAAGTGATCAGATCATGTCTAAAATTGTCGTGGCTAATTGCAGGTCCTGATGGTATGGCTTTGGACGCAAAAACAGTTGTTACTGTTGTGGCCAAGAATTCAAATTCAGAACTCAAAGTAATGTATGATCAAATGCAGGTTTATTTGGATGGTGAGGATGGTTTGGACTTGGGTTCAGCAAGCTTGCGTGGTTTTACTCAGGAGAATAAGAATGAGACTCTGTTGAAATTCACCACTCAGGTGAAGAACATGTTGATTGATGATGAGGTGGGGAAAAAGCTAAAATATGGCTATAAGAGCAAGACCTTGTTGGTGTCGACGGAGGTGAGAACTGGGATTGCAATGGGAGGGAATGGATGGACTACTGGAGCTGTAAATGTAAAGTTGATTTGTGGAGCTATGAGCTTGAAGCAGGTGGAGAATAGAGCTATGCCTAAATGCAGAATTAACGTGTTCAAGTGGTATGTATCCTTCTACATTTAACTGGATGAAGTCTAGAACTTTATTGACAACTGGTTTGCTTTAACAATAATCTGATTAGGAAAATCTTTACAACACATATTTTTTAGCAATAAATGAATGTTAATGGAATAGGATTGGCATTGCTTTTATATTGATATTTGAAAACCAATGCAAGTAAAATTTCAATTAATATGGCGTCGTTGATTTGTATGTGACTTGCTTTCCTTGCTTGTTTTATTCTGTTTCGATCTGTTAGTTCTTGTGCGAGAGAATAATTACTTGATCTTATGATTTTCCTTTTTAGATTTCTTGGATTGTTTTCCCAAAGGAATTATAGCTTGTAAAGGTGCTTTTAAGTGAGAAACAAAATATGGAAGTTGTGCAACACCTGTGCCCCATTCCACTTGCCAAAGAACAGGCGTGGGATTTAAGCTTCATTAAATTAGCACAAAACTGAATAAAGATATGGCATCAACAATAGTAAACATCTACGTGCACTCTCCCCCAACGAATTTAATCTATGATCCTCCGGAATCACAGATTGGCACAGAGAGCATCTAGAATATAACTACACCTTATTAGCAGAGGTGCAAGGGGAAGACAGAACTCCCCTTATCTAATTGGAAAGCTTTATCCTTCAGATGTTTTCGCTGCAGGCTGTGGGTGGTGGGGGCTAAGTCGCTTTGTCTTTCAGTTGCCTTTGCTCAAGTTTCAAGATGCATTGGCAGTCTCACATACATAGGGGAAAGCCAGTTAGGAATGATGCAAGCAATTCTGTCTGTGCTATACCTTGAACTTGTAAACTTTTGTGTTAAACTGCCATCTAAAAGTTTAAACTCTGTTAGTTAGGACTTCGTTGGAAAGTGATGGAGATAAGCTAATACTTCAGCTCAAAACGGTAGGCAAATATGGTGGCAACAGTAGTGCATATTGACTTTTGAGTACCTAAATTTTATCTTACATTTGATTCCTTGACGATTTCATGATATTGAATACCAGTAATGAAAAAGTTGATCAGATTGTTAAGCAATATTAACTAACAATTATTGTTTGGCTGCAGGTTCAATATACACTGATGGGTCCATCTTATCTACTCACATCAGCACTAATGTACCACAAACTCTTGAAACATACATTTACAAGGTATGTCATGACAGGGGATGGAGGCACTAGTACACTACTGGTGTTATTTGCTGGTGAGACCATAGTGCATGAGAATACTGCTGGACCGTACATATATTCATCGTTTTTCATACTTACATACATACTCAGATTGCTAAATCCTAGATTATAACAAGAAATGGGAAAGAGAAAAAGGAAGAGGGTGTCATTTATTGCAAGCTAATTTGTGCTTACACTGCATACATATATATATATATGCCCTTAGTTTGTTTTTGTATGGTAAATGCATACAAGTTCTTGTACACCATCGATGAATTGAGTTTTCATTTCCTCGTTTGTCTATTGAAGGCATTGGATCTGTAGTTATTCATTTGTTCTATGAATTATTTTGCTTGTGGGGTTCCTTAGATTCCTGGTATTGTTCATAGGTTGTTTTTTCTTGTGATAAAAGGGAAATCATTTTTATTGAAGTTGTAACATAAACATCCATGTGGTGAACTGAAGTGAGAGGACAACCTTCTTAGCTTGTAAGGGAGGCTGCCTTGTAAAGAACTGATACTTAACAACTGTGAAAAATATCGAACTGTTGTAACAATTTCAATTTTCTAACATTGTTAATAAATTTTCTTTTGATGTTCTCATCTCTCTCTCTCTCTCTCTCTCTGTGTGTGTGTGTGTGTGTACGTGTGCACGTGTGCATTCCTGTGTCCTACTTTTGTATATGTCATATATGTTCCATCTTAGAAAAAGGATTCAGCAGGTTCAGAAATTTACAATTTTAAATCATTGATTCGCTTGTGCTTAAATGTTTATGGGTAGGATTCCCTAAAAATATATATATATATATATATTTGAAGATTTACATCAACAAGGCATGCTACAAAGACAAGGGAAAGAAGCCTTTCTCCCATCTATGAACCTCTCAACCCAGATAAGCACCGATAGTGCTCGAAAACACTTGGCCCAAGTCCAGGTTAATATTTTGCAAAATTGGGGGAAGGTAATATGAATATTCTAAGCCAACAGAAAAAATACATATGATCAAAGACAATATATAAGTGGTTCATCTTAATCGAAAAACCAAGACTACGTCAACTGTAATGGAGGCTCTTACTTCGTAAGATTTATATTAATTGAAGAAGAAAGTTACAGTGAGTTTCTTAGCTTAGAATTTTTCTAAACAATGTCTTATGAGTAGAGGTTTTTTAGGTAGGTTTTACATTGTGTCATTGAGTTCTATTTATACATGGGGTTATCTAGGTTTTTTTTTGCGATCTTTCTCTTACTTCGGTTGATTCTTTGGTCCTCTCTTTTTTGTCTTGTAGTAATGATCGTTATTTTGATACTAACCATATCCACGGTCCTTCAATGAGATGTGCACAAATATTCCCTTTACCAGAGATTATTCGTTCGTTAGAGGCTCTAGAAGTTGTTCCCCTGGACATGTGGTGCGATGTGGGACATTTAGGGTCTGGTGAGTACCGAGCTTTTTGATACCGGCTTGTTTATCACTGAACTTGTTATGACCGAGCAGGGTTGTGCCGAGCTGGACTCTTTGTTGGGCTCTCTCCTTTGAATTATGGGTCATTCCTTATTACGGAGCAAATTGGTTGTAGAAAGGTCTCTTGGGCTGTTATGCACCCGTTGGCCCTATTAGATGATTTGGAGTTTATGATGAGTAACCCACTCCAAAATTTTACAGTTAAGATTCGGATTTGTAAGTGTCTTTTGTCATTACCAAGAAGGAAAAAAAAAAACAACATTGTTTCGTAGAGAAAAATCTAATAAAAGAAAAATTATTGTAACTTCTTTTGGTTGATATAAAAGTTGCTAATCAACTAAGGAAAATAGAATAACAAGAATAAGTTAACGAAAATTTGAATTAAAAAGAAGAAAGGAGAGCATGAGTTCATCCCAGACCCGACTCTAATGAAAGGCCAATAAAATTTGGGCTTTAGGATCATTTAGTTATTCATGAGCTTCCTTAATTTGAGGGTCGATGATGCACACAAATTGAGGCACCCACATGGTAGTGTATGAAAATTTGAGAATGTTTCATGCTAAAACTTAACAAATTCGGACTAGCATGTGTGGGTCAAATGTAATATTTCTTTTGATGTTGAGCAATTCTTATAATCCTCCTGTATTGATTTTGAATTATTTATAAGATCTCATTAGTGTCATTGATCATTCAGACATAATATTTTCCATCAACCCCAAGCTAATTCTAAAATAATTCAAATGATAACAGATAAAACTGAAAAACTCTAAACATCTTTAGAATAACCTTTCTTTTGACCAACGCTCGAGCACTAACCGTTGAAAAAAAAAAAATATTCACCACTGTTTAATGGTTTGGCCGCCCTAAACCAAATGAGTGGTTGCATGCATATTTTATGTACCCAGTGGAGAACTAACCAATCACAGGTGAATTGAGTACGCTCCTCTAGGGCAATGCCGTACATATAATAAATCGGGGTAATTACACTTTATACCCCAAAAAATTTAGAAATCCTTTTACACCCTTAAATATTGAATTTATCATATTATACCATTAATGTGTTAAAATTACTATAGTGTGGCTCTTTTGCCAGCTTTTCCATTAAAAACTACCTTATTAACATGGACAGAATGAACAACAAAAGTTAATAAAATGGTCATATTATAATATTTTTAATGCATTAAGAGTATAATATAAAAAATCTAACCCTTAAGGGTATAAAATAATACTTTTTAAATTTTTTTGGACACAAAATGCAATTCACCATTGTAAATTTGAAAACAAATGATTAATCTTATTTTGCACACCAAAAAGATATTTCGATTACTAATTTATACTCTCAAACATTAAAAATTTTAATTTGTAATTTCAATATTATGAATTGATATTAATATGTACCTTACCCCATCTGTCTTTAGTTTGTCATCATAAATTAAAACACAAGAGTTGCAAGTAGCATAAACTTATATTGTTAATTGACACATCATAAAAGGTGCACATGATAGGATTAACTTCTATATGATTAATGAAACCCTATTTTCGATTCAAAAAGCGGTGTCAAATTAATTACAAATAAATATCTATAGCAATTGACATATGTCATTTTCATGCCCGAACTTATTGCACCTCATGTACTTCAATTAATAACGAAAAACTTAAAGACAGTTTGAGTCAAGTCTATATTACTATAAATTCATAACTTTAAGGTATAAATTAAAATTTTAATGTTTGAAGGCATAAATTAAAAATAGAATTATATTTGGGGAACAAAATGATATTAGCCCGAAAACAACTAAAGAAATATTCCCAGTCCAATTTGTTCAGCGTCGAGAACAATAATGGTTTCCACAAAAAATTAAAAAAAAAGAAAAAAGAAAGAGAGAGAGAGAGAAGAAAAGTAATCTTTTGAATTCCAAGTTCAACGAACCAGTCAGGTCAGCCTCTATTAATCTTCTATCCTTTACATGTATATATAATTGTTCTTGTATTACATCAGATTTCATTGTTTTGTTGTGTTGGTTGTGAATTTCTGCAGCTTTGGTTTTATCATCTCAGATCAGAGTTGATCCGTTCGATTTCAAGAATTGTTTTCTTTGATGGCTTCGAGACGGATCTTGAAGGAACTCAAGGATCTCCAGAAAGATCCTCCTACCTCTTGCAGCGCCGGTATCTATCAATCTTTCTCTCTGTTTACATGTGTCGTGTTGTGCTTTCATTTTTATCTATGTGTGATTTTAAGGATTTTATGTATTGCTCGTGGTTATGAGACTCGATCCGTCACATGAATATATAGACACATTTGTACCTGTGTTGATATGTGTATACTAGTCAAAAAATTGATCCCACTTTATTAAATAATAATTTTTTAATTTGTTCGTTTATTTGGTTCCATCATTTAAAATTAATTTCTACCTATTATTTTTTTAAAATAGTGTCAAAATTTTTTCAAAATGCATACACCGACAAAATGTTTTCAACTCATATACCCTATCATGTATGGACAATATTGAAATAAAAATTATGTTAAACTACAAATTAATCAAATATTAAATGATTGAACATGTGATAGAATTAAATGATGTGATATTTTTGGGAAAAATATATATAGGCAAAAAAATTCAACTTATTGATAGATTTATGTATAAGTTTTGCATGTCGGTGTTGTATTTTGTAGTTTCCCATTGTTGTTGTTTTTCCTTTATCACAAGCATCAAAATAGGTGGTAATAGGAGAGGGGGGGGGGGGGTTGTGTGTTTGTAAGAGAAAAAAAAAATGTAAGAAACCAATTACAATGCTAATCAGGATGATAAAAAAAAACTACTTTGAAAAAAGAGAAAAAGACAGAACTCGTGATAGTTCGATAATCTTAAGCTTTGCCTCCATAAAGTGCTACAAATTAGTGCAACTTTGTTTATGGAAATAAGAAAAAAAAAAAAAAGGATCATGTCTTGGAATACAGAGCTACATGCGTGACAGGGATTCGTGTAGGCAACCAAAGTTGGGATTTTAGATTTAAGCGGCCATTTGAATTTAGGTTATTGTTTCCTATCATTTTCCTCTTTTACTCCATTCATATTGTGGTTTGGTAATGCATGGATTTTTCTAATGTGACAACTGGTGAAGATAAATTTCTATTTCAGCTGGCAAATATTTATTTTCTCTGTTTTCCATAAGTCTCTCTGATTTACAGAGCAAATGGGTTGAGTTCATGCATGAGAACCTTCCAGACTACTAGAAATATGCTTATCATTGATACTGATTTGTAGCACTTTATGGAGCCAGAGAGGGGCAAAATATGAATGAAAAAATAATAATGAACTGATATTAAAAAATTTCCAACCTCATAAGAATTAAATTGATGATATTTCATATAAAAAAATTCATTAGTTAAAGTATGAGAACTACTTTACAGTTTGAGACTGCGAAAATTAAAACCAGTATCAATTCGGCATT